TACTTGGGAGGCTGAGGCAGAAAGGTCTCCTGAGTCCAGGAGGTCAAGGCTGCAGTAAACCATGATTGTGCCACTGCAGTCCAGCCTGGGTGACAGAGTGAGACCCCGACGGCCCCCCCCCAAAAGTGCTAGTTAGGTAGTCTTCTGTTAGAAATTATAAATGAGAGTCAATGAGCTGATGAAATAGGGGAGAAAAAGAAGAGATTGCGAGCCCACCCGAGAGGATGCCAGAGGCCCTCCTCCTCCTCTGCTATATTGTTTTGTTTTGAGTCAGAGTCTCACTCTGTCACCCAGGCTGGAGTGCAGTGGCACGCTCACCGCCACCGCAGCCTCGACCTGCTGGGAGCTCAGGTGATCCTTCCGCTTCAACCTTCCAAGTAGCTGGAACCACAGGCACACGCCACCAGGCCCGGCTAATTTTTCTGGGTTATTGTAGAGACAAGTTTTCGCCATGTTGCCCAGCTGGTCTTGAACCGCTGAGCTCAAGCAATCCTCTCGCCTCCGCCTCCCAAAGTGCTGGGATTACAGGCAAGAGCCACTGCGACCGGCCTCCTCTGCTATATTAACTCAAAACAAAAGGCCTAGTGGTAGGTCAGAGACCTGGTGGGCCAGGCTGCAGTGGGACAGGACGGAGGCAGGGAAGGGCTTTCCTCTTGTCTCTTGGGCCATAGTGGGGCGAGGTGTGGTTCAAAGCGTCCAAGTGGCAAGGAGGTGACTCGGCCCCCTTGTGCTTCCCCGGTTTTACATTTAAAAAATTTTTTCAGCAAGTGCCAGAGAGCATCTTCAATTTAAGCTCATGTCTATCAACAATTTCAGATAAAACCCCTTGCCCTGAACTAACTGCAAAATGGACATGTCCATGGGAGTTAGGCTGTATTTTTCAGATGCCCCCTGGGGGGTGTTTATGGTTCTTTTTTTTTTTTTTTTTTTTTTTTTTTTTTGAGTTGGAGTCTCACTCTGTCACCCAGACTGGAGTGCAGTGGCCGCTCCCGGCCATTGCAGTCTCAATCTGCTGGGCTCTGGCGATCCTTCCGTCTCAGCCTTCCAAGTAGCTGGAACTACAGGCGCGCACTACCACGCCCGGCTCATTTTTTGATTTATTGCAGAGATGAGGTCTCGCCAAGTTGCCCAGGTGGGTCTCGAACCCGCGGGCTTAGGCAATCCACTCACCTCGGCCTCCCACAGTGCTGGGATTACAGGCTGAGCAACGGAGCCTGGCCTGTGTTTATGGTTCTTAAAGGGGTTCGTGGCATGGGGTCCATGGCATCACCTGACTCTTAAAGACACGGGCTCAAGGGCCTGGCCCAGCTCTGCTGAATCAGAATCTCCAGTTAAAGCTTGAGAAGTGGCGTTAAAGCTGCCCTGCAACAAGGGCAGCCCCTCCCCAGCAGCGTGGTCATGTGTTTGATAAGGGTCCCCCGTCCTCCAACACAGATGAGGTGGAAGAGGGCCTGGACATAGGACTATTGGACCTGGATGTCAGGCGACAACCTGTGAGGACAACAGTCACCGTGACCGAGAAGCAGCCCGGTGCCAGGCACTCTGCACGATCATCTCATTTAGTGCAAACCACCGCCCTGCCAGACAGGTGTTCTCATTTCCACTCTACAACCGAGGGAAAAACCCCCAGACACCTAGAGGCCAGGTACTCAGTTCTAGTTTCAGAGCTGGGGAGGGCTAGGGTTAGGTCAGCTTGCACGGTCCACTCCCTTTCCATAACGCTGGAGACCTGACCTAGAAACTTCTCTGGAGGCTGCCAGAAAGAGAAAGCTAAGCTGAAGGTCAGCACCAGGACCCCCGCAGGGACGGGTGGGACAGTGCGAGGGGACCAGTAGCTCAGCCGCATCGGCATGCAGGGGACCTGGTTCTTTTTTTTGAGTTGGAGTCTCACTCTGTCGCCCAGACTGGAGTGCAGTGGCCGCTCCTGGCCACCGCAGCCTCGACCTGCTGGGCTCCGGCGATCCTTCCGCCTCAGCCTTCCGAGTAGCCGGAATTACAGGCATGTGCTACCATACCCGGCTGATTTTTTGATTTATTGTAGAGATGAGGTCTCGCTGCCCAGGCGGGTCTCGAAATCCGCGGGCTCAGGAATCCACTCACCTCAGTCTCCCAAAGTTGCGGGATTAAAGGCTGAGCCACCGAGCCTGGCTTGATTTCTTGTAGAGACGAGGTCTCACCAAGTTGCCCGGGCTGGTCTCGAACCCGCGGGCTCAGGCAATCCACTTGCCTCGGCCTCCCAAAGTGCTGGGAATACAGGCTGAGTCACTGAGCCCGGCCGGCCTTGTACTTTTGCCCCGACGAGAGGCCGGGGTCACGGACGTCACTGTGAAGGCCCATGCGTGGCCTCTCCCACCGTGCTGCCCTCTGAAGCACCGATTACCAACAGATGACATTTACATCTGGAAAAGCCAAGCAAAACATGGCCTAGTTCATGAAACCCGCCTTCCTCCTTTTCCTTCCTGCCCTTCCTGAGCTTCGTGAAGCAGAAACATAAACTGGTGGTGGCTGCCTGCCTGCCCCCTGCAATGCACGGGTCCAGGAGGGCTAGTGGGCCCCTCCAGGGCCTATGCAGTGGCTGTGGCCTTGCCCACCAGAACCCGACCCACCCTCAGCCAGGCTCTCTGCCCACCCCATCCAGGAGAGGCACAAGCCCCTCATCTCCCTGGGCAGACAGGCACCACTTGCAGTCCCAGCTCAGTGTCCCGCCTGGCGGCGCGGGCTTCAGATGCAGGCTGGCGGAGTTGAGCTGACCCCTGCCACCTGTCACTGGAACCGACCCCAAAAAAGGAACTCAGAGGGGCTTGCGTGCCAGCAGCGCATTCCTCTGGGGCCGCCCGACAGTGAGTGGTGGGGGCGTTATCTGGCTGAGTGCAGCTGACACGGCCCTATGGAGAGATGTCACATGCCACCTCCATAGGGGATCAACACAGAGAATTTGAGGTCAAGGGTTTCGGCTGAAACACTTCTATTTATAAAAGAAGTGTCTGGGGGAGATGGAAGGATAGAAGGCCTGCTCGGCCTGGGTGCTGGTTGGCAGGACGACATGCCAAGGGCAGGACCGTGCTCCCATTACCCCTGGCTACGTTGCTCCCTTTATGACTAGCCCTCGGCTGTGAGCGTTTCCTGTCCAATCCAGTTCCCTTGTCTCATGATGGCCCTGTGTACGAACCGACAAGAGCCCACATGGGAGAAACATGCCTAGGACTGCTGTGAATAACCTGGGGACAGTCCCTCTGCTCACAGCTGGGGCCTCCTGTGAGCACAGGGTGGAGAAGGTGAGAGGCTTTTTCTAGAAGGACACACAGGACATTTTTGTGCAAGAGCAGAGCCCCTAGTTAACCAAAAGCAGGATGACCCCTCCCTCTCCTCTCATCACCACAGAGAGTAGGTGACAGTTACCTATGGACCGTGGATCTAATTCCAGCTCTTGGCTCTGCTGACAGCGGGCTCAGGGCGGCACTCCTGGGCCAACAGTGAGATCCTCTTCTCACCAGCTCGAGGCACTGTCACATGCAAAACCAGGTGGGCATCCGGCCTCCGTTTGAGTCCTACTGAGCCAGAAGCCCCGGGATAGAGGCTGGGAATCTGGTTCACAAAGAACTTTGTGGGGGAGGCTGAGGCACAGACAGGACACCAGATGGGCTGTGGCACAGTGGAGCCCTCACCATGGTCACCTCCCCAAACACACCGACTGAACCGAGAAGGTCAGACTGGCTGCAGGTGACAAACCAATATCACACGTCAGACTTTTATTAAGACATTAAAACGTATAACTTGCCAATATGCAAAACTCCAAAAACGTCGCTTCCATCGCTCACTTGCTGCTGACCCCAGCCTAAGCACCGCCAGATTCTGGGCCTGAGAGATAACAAGTTCTTACACCTACTTTCCATGCGAGGCGGTCCTCGTTTGACACTAACCATCTAAGATACACAGGCCTAAGAAATAAAATATGCCTGGGCCCGAAAGATACTGCATCAAGGAGAAATGGGTTTACTAATACAACGGAAATGATGATCCCTAGGCCATGCTAGCAATACTGTTGTCAAATTCAGCTCGTCCTGCCTGTGCTATTTGGCAACGGCAGTGCCTCTGCAATTCTGGGTCTACCCAGCGTCTCTGCTGTCAACCCACTGTGAACAGACAGTGGGTGGGTGTGGTCAACCTCACTTCTCTCATGGGACACAGAGGCTGTCTTCGCCATCAGCCGCCGCTTCTCTCCAGGGCAGGACACACAACACCCAAGAGCCATGCCGAGATGAGCTGGCCAGGCCATTCAGGAGCCTCATGCCGTTGTCAGTGCTCAGCCAACATCACACTGGGTGGTTTGCCAGGCCCGCCTCGTGGCTCACTGCAACTATACTGGGGGTGCTCCGATAGCTTCTGAAATGCAGCTGCTGCCTGTATGAGTGGGCCCCCCCGGGGGTGTCGGTACACAACAGCAAAGGACGTGGAGAGGAGACAGCAAAGTGATGACCTCAAAAAGGAGGCCCACCAGCATCCAACTCTTCCCTATGTGGAGGGCTCGAGGGTCAAACCAGACCCAGGCACACTCCATGCCCTGTTTCCCAATACCTGATGTCGGTTACTTTTTTTTCAAGTTGGGGTCTCACTCTGCTGAACAGGCTAGAGTGCCATGGCACAATCACAGCTCACTGCAGCCTCAACCTCCTGGGCTCAGGTGAGCCTCTTACCTCAGTCTCCTGAGTAGCTGGGACTATAGGTGTGCACCACCACACCCAACTAATTTTTTGATTTATTGTACAGATGAGGTCTCACTGTGCTGCCCATGCTGGTCTCCAGCTCCTGGGCTCAAGCTAAGCTCCTGCCTTGGCCTCCCAAAGTGTTGGGATTACAGATGTGAGTCACTGTACCCAATGCGTTACTTTTGATTCTTGAAGATACTGGTGGCTTATGGAGGCTCTGCTGGTTTTGCAGAGCCACAGAAATGGGAAACTTCTCTCCTTGGCTGTGATCTGAAAAAAACCACATACACGCTGTACGGAACAGACCAACAGTTTAATAGCAGTGGGAAAACTCAACACAAAATATAAAACACAACAGAATAAGCAACCAGGCATCTCTGAGTTTTGGTTTCTGTTGTTTTGGGGATGTGTATTTCAGTGAGAACGTCCACTTTAACAGCCTGCTCTAGCACTTCCTGGTGAAGAGAAGCCGAAAATGCAGTTGGTCATAGAACTGAAACGGCCGCTGACACCCACTCAGCTTCTCCAGCCGCCAAACCCCTGCACAGACCTGCAAGGAAGCACCAGAAGAGAGGCGGAGTCAGTTCCTAATAATCCGGAGAGGCTTCGTGCCCTGCCTGTGCACAAAATCAAGAGTCTGAATTTTAATGTCATAGAACTCTATAAGAAGCACGGAGGGAGGACCCACACACAAGGCTTGGTGATGGGCCCAGGGGTCAAGCACGAAGCTTCTGGGACGCTACAGGGGCACCGGGAAAAGTATCTACTAAGTGCGGCTTCGCCGGCAGGAAGCATCTTCTTTCTCTGAGCCATGGCCCTGAAGAAGGTGAGGCTGGGCACTTCCTGCCATACTGCCACAGAGACCAGCAAGTCCACCCCCCCCGCCCCCTTGCTGAACCCCTACGCTTCCATGGCAAACTCTAAAAACAGGAAAAAGGGAAACAAAATGCACACATCCAGCAAGAGTTAGTATTTCAATAGTTTTTGCATACCACATACAATTCCATCCTTATTTAATGCTTTTAGTTAATGTGAGACTCAAAAAGAGAGAGATACTTACGAGTTATTTGATCCGAAGGTGAATGCTGAAAAGCAAATGAAAAGGGTTAAGGCCAGGCACACTTGAGACAAAAGCGGCTTCCTGGCTGTCTCCCCTCCCTTGCCTCTGTGGAAAACCTTCTTGCTCCCAGCATCTGTAGGAAGGCGAGGAAGCCCTTGAAGAAGTCCCTCTACCCTGAGTCCGCTCTCCAGGGCCACTCAGATCCACCAGGACAAGGCACGGGACATCCTTTTCTTTTTTTCTTTTTTGAGTTGGAGTCTCACTCTGACACCCAGACTGGAGTGCAGTGGCTGCTCCCGGCCACCACAGCCTCACCCTGCTGGACTCCGGTGATCCTTCCATCTCAGCCTTCCGAGTAGCTGGAACTACAGGCGCGCGCTACCACGCCCGGCTAATTTTTTGATTTATTGTAGAGATGAGGTCTCACCAAGTTGCCCTGGCGGGTCTCGAACCCGTGGGCTCAGGCAATCCACTCACCTCAGCCTCCCAAAGGCGCGGGATTACAGGTTGAGCCACCGAGCCCGGCGGGACATCCTTTTCTTTCTCGGAATTCTCTTCTTGGTCTTTTAGGGTTCTTCCCTCCTCCCTGGACCTGGCTCTGGGCGAGGGTCTCTGGCATGGCCCCCCTCTCACTTAGCTGTGCTGGATACACAGGCTCATCTCATTAGGGAAACTTGGGGTTTTTCTAGCTTTTCCATCCATTTGCTGCCTCTTCCTTTTGAGACCCAGAGAAGCAAGACAGTTGGGCTCTGGCCTGGTTCTGCTGCTGACCGACCAGCAAATCACTTAGCTCCTTGGAGTTTCCATTTTGTCATTAGTAAAGTAACAATGATGGCTATGTTCTATGCCTCTCAAGTTTGTGGCAAGGAACAAATGAAATATACATATTTTATCTGAAGAAGCAGAGTGTTAAACAAATGCAAGACATTTTGTGAAGTTTCTACGTCTTATTTTTTTGAGTCTGCTGGCTTGGATTTTAAAACCAAGGCCTAGTGAGACCATTGCCATTTGGGATTCTTAAATCATGAGAGGAAATCAAGTCAGTAATTTCTTTGGTGAGAAATGGCATGGTGCTCCAAGGCTAGCCTAAAAAAGGACATTTTGTCTTTCAACTCCTTTCAGCTTTTAAGTTCGAAGCTGACTGGTCAGGTAAAACAACTTATTTCTTTGGGGGAGAAGGCCTCTATGGGAGGCAAAGGCGTGAGGAACCACCGGATCTGTGAGGGAAGAGCATGTGGCCGCCTACCTCCTGCACCTGATCCAAAGCCAGAGAATCCGCTGCTCTGGGTCCCAAATCCAGAGGTCTGCTGGGACAGTGACCCAAATGTGGGAGCATTCTGGCTCGCGAGGGTGCCGAAGGACGTGGTGTTGCTGCTGCTCCCGAACCTGGGTTCCAGAGAGAAGGGACTGTGGTTAGCGGGGCCTCTTGTCATCGCCGCCCGAAAGTTTCTGTCCACTGTCATGTCTTGACATGCACGACACGCACAACCTGGCGTGACAGCTGGGCCTAGTGAGCAGCTCTCAGAGAGAATGGGTCGTAGCCCAGAGCAAACCTCTACTTCGCTCTGGGAAGAAGAATCACAGGAACACAACATGAAATGCAACCTGGCCAGCGTTTTGGTTTCCATCCAGGTCATTTGGGAACTAAGCAGCACACACCTCCTGCTGTCTCCAATATTCATTTTATTGTTTCTCATTTGCTGACCAGTCCCCTGCCCCGATTTACTTATCTTCAGCGTCTCTTGGGATCTTGAGTCTATTTACCTTTTTTTTTTTTTTTTTGGGTTGGAGTCTCACTCCGTTGCCCAGACTGGAGTGCAGTGGCCGCTCCCGGCTACTGCAGCTTCGACCTGCTGGGCTCCGGCGATCCTTCGGCCTCAGCCTTCCAAGTAGCCGAACTACAGGCGTGCGCTACCACGCCCGACTAATTTTTTGATTTACTGTAGAGATGAGGTCTCTCCAAGTTGCCCAGGCGGGTCTCGAACCCGCAGGCTCAGGCAATCCACTCACCTCAGCCTCCCAAGGCGGGATTACAGGCTGAGCCACCAAGCCCGGCGAGTCTATTTACTTTTAACAATGATGTAGAGACTCTAGCACGTACAAAAACTGCCATTCTATTTACATTTGGGGGGAGTAGTTTCCAAGGCATTTCATTCAAAATTTAGGGTTTGTTTCCTAAATCAATAAATACTACACAAAACAATGTAAAACTGGCTGCCACTTTCTCTCCCCTGCTCAGTCCACCTGGGGACATTCCTCAGGGGTTCTCCCTCCAGACGGATCCAGCACTTAAGTGACATGTGGTAGCCTGCTGAGTCACTGTCAGAGGAATTCAGCGGGGCTGGGGAGGGAGATGGATCAGTGGTTTCTGGGAGAAAGGACAGCACCTGGGGCAAAGGCCTATCCCAAAGAAAGCAAGAGTGTCTAAAATGTCCCAGTTCCTGCTCATTCTAGGTCCTCTTCATGATGAGGTACAGGGCCTTTTACGCAAGAGGTGGGCAGGGGCCTGGTCTCATTGGCCATGGTCCTCAGAGCGAGCCCGCTCCCCTCTTCCTCCTGCCTTGGGCCTGCCCTTCTCAGAGGCCTGCCAGGGTCATGGCCAGGGACCTAAAGAAAGGCAACCGGCTCTTCTGGAGATTTAATGCCTGATCTGGAACTTGTTGGCGTTGCTTCAGGTCATGGAGCGAACCAGCCAGTCAGGATGGATGTGGGAGAGCCCTCCCAAGGCAGAATATGCTGCTTTTCTACTAGTGCAGAAAACAGCTGATTTCAAATGTATAAATAAAACCTCAAGACTCCCAGTCAACCAAAACCTCCCACCACATCTGCAGTACTTGTGCCGCAGTACTTGTGCCGCAGAGATGGGGGCTCTAATACTAGTCTCAGTTGGTCCCTACCTCGCCTTTCAAAGCTTTCCTTGACTTTGGTTCTTGGGTTTCCTGAGGTGAACTGTAAAAGCCCCATTGGTCTCTACATGAAGCACAAGAAACAACACCTCAACTCTTTCGTGCTCCTTGACACTCAGCAGCATCTTCGTGAATGGGAAGGGCATGACTGAGAACACACTCGAGTTTCTTTTCAAGATATAAACATTGTCATCTTGCCAAGTTGTGTCACAAATCCTTCCACAATTCCCCCAAACAAATCATCTTCCCCTCCCCAAGTCGCCAGCACCGAGGGTGAGAGGCGTTCCAGAGTCGCCTTCAGCCAGCAGCTCCTCCTCTGAGCGAGCGTCTTTGCAGCCACCCCTTGCAGACACTTTCTTGGGATTTCTGTGGTGTGGCGAAGGCTATGTTTTCCTCGGGGTTTTGGAAACCAGACGGGAGTCCTACCCATAAAGGCAGCTCCCTCATGTGGAATTTTCCTTTTTTTTTTTGAGTTGGAGTCTCACTCCAGCGCCCAGGCTGGAGGGCAGTGGCACACTCATGGCCACCCCAGTATCATCCAGCTGGGCTCAGGCATTCCTTCCACCTCAGCCTTACCAGCAGCCGGGACTACAGGTGCATGCTACCATGCCCAGCTTATTTATTTATTTATTTATTTATTGTAGAGATGAGGCCTTGCCAAGTTGCCTGGGCTGGTCTCAGGCAATGCACTCTCCTCGGCTCACGCTCTTCCCACGTGGGCGCCTGTCGTGCCCAGTGCTCATGCTGGCTCCTGGGCTCCTGGGACCGTGGAACTCAATATCCACCCTTCGGGTCTGCAGGGGAGCAGGGGATACAGGGAGTTGTTTGCTCAAGGACAATGGCTCTAAGGCAGAACACTCCCAGAGGAAAACATCTGGTGCAAATGATTCCAGCAGAACTTGCTCCCAGAAACTACCGCCGGGGGTGCTCTTGGCTATCAAGCAGCCCAGGGCAAGGCTATGTGCCTTCCCTCAAGTCCACCAGGAGAACCCGGGCACATGACCTGTACTTGACATGTCCGGGGACAGCCACACAGCTGACATCTACCCACTACTCCACAGGGCCCGGCTTGGAGGAAGTGAGCCTTCCCTTAGAGAGGAAAAGCAGCCCTCAGGGACTGGTTTGCCTTTGAAGGTGGGGCCTCCAGCCCATTTTTGGAGTAGGCATCCTGAGCCCTGTCCCGTGCCGAACGAGCATGTGGGCTTCCGGGTCCCTCCCCAGGGCTTACCCGAATCCTCCTGCGCTGGCAGCCGCAGTGCCCTCTCCGAACACTTTGCCTCCCGTCGAGCCCAGAGGGCTTGTAAAGGCTGGGGCTGAACCGAATGCTGGCACCCCTCCAAACCCAGGGGATCCCCCAAAAGTAGGAGGGCTGCCAAACACTGGAGCAGCACCGAAGCCACCTGAGCAAAACAGAGGCAAACAAACAGAAACAGGGAGGAAGAAAGGAGGAGGCAGGGAGGCATTGAGCGATGAGAAACCAAATGAAAACAGGAAGGAAAAAAGGGAAAAAGGCATGTTAGACATTCAAATGCACAGAACTACAACAAAGGGTGACACACCTTTTATCAATAAAATAATAAAGCAAAAACAAAATTAAAAAACCCCAAAACCAACCGTCACCCCTCTAGCAGAGGTTCATTCAGGAGTGTTCCCACCCACCCTGGGTTTGTCTGAGATGCCCAGAACCCTTGCAGAGGCGAGTGGGCCCGTCAGCGTTTAGCCTCATGGAAGCAGAACACCCCAGAGCGCACACTCAGTACATCTTGGATCCTCTCCCAGACCCTCTGGGCTGCTCTGAGATTTCTCATCGAAAACCCATTCTAGCCGGGCTCGGTGGCTCAGCCTGTAATCCCGCACCTTGGGAGGCTGAGGTGAATGGATTGCCTGAGCCCACGGGTTTGAGACCCGCCTGGGCAACTTGGCGAGACCTCATCTCTACAATAAATAAAAAAATCAGCCGGGCGTGGTAGCACACGCCTGTAGTTCCAGCTACTTGGAAGGCTGAGGCGGAAGGATCGCCGGAGGCCAGCAGGTCGAGGCTGCGGTGGCCGGGAGCGGCCTCTGCACTCCAGTCTGGGCGACAGAGTGAGACTCCGACTCAAAAAACAACAACAACAACAAAAAAGAAAACCCATTCTAAAAACTACAATTGCTACCCAGCTGTCAAGAGATGACAGATGTTGCTATTTATCAGCACACAGGCAAGCATCGAGCTTCATGGAAACCCAAATTATAAAATTAGAAGCTCAGAACCCCCTCTCAGGGAGAATCCCTGAACTGGGTCACAGCAGACATGGAGATGCGCATGCTGGCGCCCAGCCAGGTGCCTTTATTTATTTACAGCCTGATGGCTCATGTCTCTCACTACAGTCCCTCTCTCGGTGGAGAATTAAAAAAAAATGCTTTCTTTCTGCATGGAACTACTCAGTGAGAAGCACACTACGTCTCTTCTTTGGAGGAAGGCTGCTGTATAGATGTAACACAATAGTAAATCAGCTGTGAGGACAACCTACAGTCCAGACGCCTCCTGCGAGCCGCCATCGTGCTGCTCGGAGGACCCAGGCCACCAGAGACAGTGTATGCAGGTGGCCACATGGAAAGACAAAACAATCTTCTTCTCCTTCTGCTCCTGATGGGGGTCCAAGAGGCTGCTCCAAGAGCCTGCTTAAATCATTGTAAGGTATTAGGGCAGACACTCGGTGAGCATCTTGTTGAATGGCATGGAACAGCATGGCACGTAGTGTGCTCTCAAGTGGAGTGCCCTGGCCAGGGAGCACAGGACTTCTTACAGTGCATGTCGGCCTATGACCTACATGCTAATGGGAGCAGTGGGAGCCTAGTAACCACCGAGGACAGGATCAGCAGGGACATTATTTTCTCCCCTTCCAGGAAGTGAATCTGTTGTTCTAGGCACGAATCTAGGTTTTTTCATAAACGTAATCATAACACAAATTTCTGCTACCTGGACTGGAAAGACCGAATACTGGGTATGGAAAGCTGTCAGCTGAATTCTGTAGTTAACTGTTATTTTGTGTTTCAATTATATGCTTATTTACCCTAACAGTGGCTGCACAAATGAGAAGATACTTTGTGCCAAGCCTCATGTTTGGGTTAACATTCTGCATCTTAAAACCCCGAGTGAAATTCCAAGCCATGATAATGAAGACTGTTGGGTTACAAATATAACAGACTGGAAAAAAAAGTGCTAAAAAACCCTTGTAGCTGAATTATTTAAGACTGATCACAGATCTAGTTACACTTTCTTCTTAGACACACAGGGCTTTATCTATGCCTTGTATTCAAAATTGTTTAGACTTCTTGGTGAAGGTGAGTGAAAAATGAGAAGTCACAATGATGCAGAAAATAAACTGAGCTGTGCACGGTGGCTCATGCCTGTAATCCCAGCAGAGGTGAGAGGTGGAGGTGAGAAGACTGCCTGAGCCCAGGAGTTTGAAAACAGCCTGGGCAACTTGGCAAGACCTCATATCTACAAAAAAAAAAAAAAAAAGTTAGATGGGCGTGGTGGTGTGTGCCTGTAGTTTCAGTTACTTGCAAGGCTGAGGTGGAAAGATCACCTGAGCCTAGCAGGTCGAGGCTGCGGTGGCCGTGAGCGTGGCACTGCACTCTAGCCTGGGCGACGGAGACTCTAATTCAAAAAAAAAAAAAAAAAGAAAGTAAACAGAACAGGGGAGGGAAGGAGGTTAAAAACACACACACACACACACACACACACACACACACAGAGCCTCAAAACAACAAACCTGGGTCACAGCCAAATGAAATGAAACAAACACTCTGATCTTATTTTTGGAGATAGGCAACTCATTCTTGATGGCAGAAGGGGCTCTATTTTGTTAGTTGCCATATTGTCATGATTTTCTTCTCCAGAAGAAACAAAAATTTACTAATAACCAACAGTAACAAAGTTTCTAATTTAGAAGGCCCACTATGTTCCAGGTGTGGTGCCAGGCGCCTCACAACATTTCTCTTTTACTCTGCCAATAAGCCTGGGATCCTCACTTCATGGATGAGGAAACCGAGACTCAGAGAATATGCCACTTTCTAATTTTAGCCAGCTGGTAGCTAGGATTGGAAGAAGGTCTGTGCAACTCAAAAGCCCACCTCTTGTCTCCCCATTACGCATCCTCCTGTCTTTCTTGACCTCACTCAATCTAGCCCTCCAGCGAGAGCAGGGTGAGACCCACTGACCACAGAAGGCAGCAAGGCCATCTGCAGTCCGCCCCACCTTCCACTCGCTCCACAGATGACCTCCAGCAGTAGTATTTTCTCTAATTTTACTGAAGGGAGTATGGACACTTCTGGAGTTTTTCAAAGACCCACTCAAGCCACCGACCTAAAATCCCTCTTAAAAAAGTGACAATTCAGATGCCAAGCAGGAAGGTGACTCCTGTTTACAGCAGCACTGCCTTCTGCTCAGTGCTCTAAGGCACCCTTCCGCAGAGGGAACTCTCAGAATCAATGCGAGATCTGCAGCAGAGATGAAGTTCTGGAAACACGGGGGATCTTTCCTCAGTCTGATATTATGATTCCTAGCAGTTCATTCATCTCATGTGTTTGAAAGGAAGTTTTCTCTGTTAGAGTCCTTAATCTAAGTCATTTCATGGGTCAAATAATCAAGTAGCAAAAGTGCTCTGAAAAGTGGGAGGAAACATTTTCTCAAGATTGAAAAAACAAGAGTCAGATTTCAAATCAATTGGAACATAATCCCAAGATAAGGAACCACATAAAGAAATACATAACTCAGCCGGGCTCGGTGGCTCAGCCTGTAATCCCACGCCTTTGGGAGGCTGAGGTGAGTGGATTGCCTGAGCCCGCGGGTTCGAGACCCGCCTGGGCAGCGAGACCTCATCTCTATAAAAAAAAAAAAAAAAAAAATCAGCCAGGCGTGGTAGCACGCGCCTGTAATTCCAGTTACTCGGAAGGCTGAGGTGGAAGGATCGCCGGAGCCCAGCAGGTCGAGGCTGCGGTGGGCGGGAGCGGCCACTGCACTCCAGTCTGGGCGACAGAGTAAGACTCCAACTCAAAAAAAAAAAAAAAAAAAAAAAAGAAATACATAATTGCAATCCCAGCACTTTGGGAGGTGGAGGCGAGAGGATTGTCTGAGTTCAGGGGTTCGAGACCAGCCTAGGCAACTTGGCGAGACCTTGTCTCTAAAATAAATAAAAAAATTAGCTGAGCGTGGTGGCGCATGACTGTAGTTCCAGCTACTTGGAAGGCTGAGATAGAAGGATCCCCTGAGCCCAGCATGTTAAAGTTGTGGTGGCTGTGAGTATGCCACGGCATTCCAGCCAGGGTGACAGTGAGACTCTGACTCAAAAAAACAAAAACAAAACAAAACAAAAAAATAAGAGTCAAAGAAAATATTACCAGGCTTCTAAAAACATAAAAAATCTTCATGATTAATGAACTAAAGTTCTTGGTTAAATGTTTATATTTGTCTATTTATTTTTGAGTCATGAGTCTCACTCTGCTGCCCAGGCTGGAGTGTAGTGGCACAATCATGGCTCACTGCAGCTGTGACCTCTGGGGTCAGGTGATCCTCCTGCCTCAGCCTCCTGAGTAGCTGGAAGTACAGGCATGTGCCACCATGCTTGGCTAAGTTTTCAACTTTTTTTTAGAGACAAAGTGTCACTATGTTGCCTAGGCCGGACTTGAACTCCTGGCCTCAAGCAATCCTCCTGCTTCAGCTTCCCAAAGTGTTAGGATTACAGACATGAGCCACTGCGCTCAGCCTATTTGTCTTTTTAACTAAGGCCAAAAGCTTTGTGGTTTTTTAAATTTTTAAATCATTCTATGTGTGTGTATGTATGTGTGTGTGTCTATATGTATGTGGTCAAAAGAAAGCTGTGATACCCATTTCTTGTCTGTTTTAAATTCTACAAAAAAAGAATATTACAAACTGGCAACCAAAGACCAAGCTACCCAAGTCCCAGGGCTGAGGAAAGGTGCATGTACATTGGAAACTACACTTTAGGCTCTAAACCAAGAGATTCTGTGCGCTGCTTCGGGGCGGCTCCACTCTCAAGTCAGAGGCACCCGTTCTGCATCTAGTCCTCTGGTGGGATCCTTTCTTTGAAATGAGCGTTTTCCAGAGTATCCACATGTACAAGGGCCAAGTGTCCTGCCCGCTTGCCCATGGCAGTTTGCTTTAAAGAGCTGCTTGCTCAGCAAACAGCCTCCCCACAACCCATCTGAGTTAAAAAGTCTTTTCACACAACTTTCCAACAGCAGGAACAGGAGTACAGTCCCTCTGCAGATGTCAGGGACAGAGACTGGATAGAAAGGCAGCTGACATAAATGAAATATACATTTTCATATCTAAACACACATTGGGCCAGGCATAGTGGCTCACGTCTATAATTCTAGCACTTTGGAAGACTGAGGTGAGAGGATGCCTGAGGCCAGGAGTTTGAGGCCAGCCTGGGCAACACAGCGAGACCTTGTCTTTATATTTAAAAAATTAAAAAAATATTACACATGCTCTTTAAAAAATTTTAGTTATAAATATATCATTCATGATTATAAAAAGGCATGTAGTTTATAAATGTATACTTTAAAAGTATGCCTGGATAAAAGGTATTGCTGGTCATATTCTATTTTCTTGGTTACATGGGTGTGCTTCAACTGTGACAATTAAGTTGTATACTTATATATATGCATGTTGTACGTGTGTTATGTATACTTTAATTAAAAAGAAAAAAAATGACATGAGAAAGAGGACAGAATGGTGTACACGTAAGAAATTAAAACAGATAATCAGTCTTGACTCTCCAGGTAACGATTACCCAAACAAACCTGTGACTCAAACTTTCTTGTTTATATTTTAATTATCATCCTCTTCGGTGCCCCCTTACTTTGGTTGTTCTGCAGTTGTGAAATATTTACAGCGTTTTCTCCCTAAGACTCAATGTTGTCTTAAGGGTTGCATTACATGGCATTCTGTGCTTTTTAACATGTCTCAGGAGACCTGAATAGTGTTGGGAGTGTCTGTGACTCCCACAAATATACAAATAAGCCGGAGGAAAATGGCTTCACCCATACTCCATACTCTCTAGAGACATCACCCTAGCGACCTCTCCTTCAGATACCTATGCATAAACAGATATATGAGGGGGGACCAAAAAAACCCCAAACCAGAATAATCTTTTGGCAGGTAGGCAGGCCCCTTGTAGTGCACTCAGAGTTTGTTCTTCTGGCTCAAACGGTAAAGCAAAGTTTTTATCTGGAAGTTTTGAGAAGGCTGCATCATGATTTGTGGAAGAAACGCCCCACGTTGTGGCAAACAGGTGACTGGTTCATCCCCCACGACAACACACCTGCCCATACCCTATTCACCTGATCTCACCCTGAGCAACTTTTTGTTTCCCCAGATGAAAAAAGTTCTCAAAGGGAAATGTGCCGATCTGGAAGAGGTGAAAAAAAAAATGGCAGAAGCACTAAAAGGAATCAAAACTGATGAGTTCAAAACTGTTTTGAGCAGTAGAAAAAGTGTCTCGATAGGCATACTGCACCAAGCGGAGAGTACATTGGAGGTGACTCGAGTTTAAATAAGAGTCAATACACAGTTTTCTATAAATAAATTCCAAGTTTTTGGGTCCCCCTTCTTATAAAATAACCATGACTAACACACACAGGAGTACCTGTCTTATTTGGAGAGGAAAACCCGAAGCCTTGGGACGCCACGCTTCCTCCTCCAGAGCTGAAAGTGCCCGCGGGCTTCTGCTCTCCAAACGAGCTGCCGAATCCACCAAATGTCTTGGCCCCACTGTTTCCGAACAGGTTAGAGGCATCTGGAGAGATGAAGACGGGTGAGGCAGGTCACAGGGAGAGAAATGTCCTTATTTACTTCTCAGAGCAGAGAAGGAAGAAACCTCAGCTGGGTGTCTGGGGAGATGGGAGAGACAAGCAGCCCAGGATCCAGGGGAGCGGAGCTGGAGAGCAGCAGGTGATCTGTCATGCACCTTGCTGACGAGGCACAACGTGAAGGGGCGGTGAGAGGCCCCTCTGAAGGGCGCCTTTGTAAAAGCTCATCCGTGTGTGCCTGCAGTGTTGGGGGTGCACCCGCAGGTGCTAGCGGTGCTCCCGCAGTGTCAGGTCTACCCGGCCATGGAGAGCTAGCGCTCAGTTCCACAAGGCTGCTTTCTTCCGGGGAACAGGGCTTGCTTTCACTGGTCTCTTCACATCAGGAACCACTGCAAATTTGTCAAACTAGGGAAATGAAAGTCAGAGCTAACCCAAACCAGGCACGATGACTTCCACTACATGCCTTCCACTTTATAGCCAGTTCAGTGTGCTTGCTGCCGCCTGAGCTGATCAGAGATGGCAGGTGAGGCGAGGAAAAGCATCCTGCTCCTCTCTGCTCCAACAGGAGCAAGGGATGCTCTGGAGAATGTGTGAGATCAGCAAGACCGCCAGCATGATTTCTTCTTTCTTTGAGCTTCACTTAGGTTCTTGACCTTTTAGATGCTTATCTAGTGGGTTCCTCCCTCCCTCAAATATGTACTGAATTTGCTCCAAGAATTGGAGGAAAATAGGAAACTACTAAAAACCAAGATGGATGAGTTTTTTTTTCCTGTTACAAGAAATGCAAACTCGACAGACAATATATAAATAGCCCAAGCAGCAGACACATGGAAACAGTCACTCGGGGTTGACACCACACCTAGAAAACTACGGGTCAGGGTTTTAAAACTGTTTTTGGTTGGGGGTGAGAAGGGGAGGAATGACACGCTTCCAACCATGTCTGGACGGGGTTTTCATTAATGTGAGTCTGTATCCACAATGAGGCAGGAAGCGATCCTGAAATGGGGTGGATGTGCAAAGACACAGGCAAGAACAGGGGGCACAACACACACTCTGGATGACCACTGGTAGGCAGCGGGCACCCAGCCTCTCCCTAAGCAAGCAGTGCTCATGGAGAAGGTGAGAGGAAGGCAGTGGGGAGCACCCACAGTCACTCTCCAAGTCTAGCTGCTGGAAGAGGCAACCCTAGGATCTATGGACTCCCCAGGTCACTCGCCTTGCTCTGCTGCCAACCCAGCCCACAGGGACAGCCAACTCGGTTACTACTTCCAGTTTCCATGCTCTTGACCAGCAATCCAGCAAGTGAGTGGCCTCACTTCAGGGACCGGCCACTCTAGATTTCTATTAGTAGCATAATATGGCTCAGACCACCACATCATGGTTGCTGCTCTGTAAAGTCACGGGGACGCCTGGAGAGCCAGTTAAGGACCCCACGTTGAGTATGGCAGGCACCAACAGCTGGGTGGTTAAGAAACCCCTTGATCTCATCCTCTTTTTTGGTACCCCAGGGTTATTTATCCCCTGGGGGAGTCCACAAAAGGTCTTCTTGAGCAGTCTCATCTTTCCCTTAGTAAGCCAGTCCATAGTTCCCTCTTTCTCCTTCCAAGGCAGTACATTTGACACTGGAGAGAAAAATAGGCTTCTCAGCCATTCCTTTGACTTTGTAAATTCAAGAAGAGAGGACTGTAATTTTTGTACTTTGTTAGTGCTAGCAATGCAAAATTCAAGTGGCAAACAAGTTCAATTCTAGGATCAGGGGTTGGATCTTCTCCTGGGGGAATGTGGTGCAGCCCTATGAAATGGTCACACTGGGAAGTGACAGGAGACTGAAATTCCTGAGAAGTCAAAGACCATTCAGAATCTTGGGGCTTCTTTATCTTCTTCTCTCTTTAAGAATCCTTTGTCTTTAAGATCTTCCTGGCATATTACAGTGGAACAAACATGGGGTTTGCAGTCAGACCTGGGTTAGATGACCCAAGAGCTGAGTGACCATGGCAAGGACATAACTTCCCTCAGTCCCAAGTTCCTCACACAGAAAACAGGGCAGCAATTCTGATTATGCAAGGTCGCAGGGAAGATGAAACGAAATGGTGCACACAGAGCACCCAGCGTGTGTGCTGGGTGGACTCTCTGCTCCTTCAACCCTTCTCCCTCCACATCTCTATCATGTTCAGTCTAATTAGACACAGAGCAGGTCACCAGTAGAAAATAAAATCCTTTTCATTTTGCAAAGACCCCAAGAATTATACCTTTAAAGTTTAAAATGTTGTCATTTGCAGTCTCAAAAGGGAGCGAGCTCTGTATGTTGAAATGGTTTACTATTTATTTTTAGAACTTTTAAAATAAGAATTGGGTCTTATTCTGTTGTCCAGGCTGGAGTGTAATGGTGTGATCACAGCTTACCACAGCCTCAAACTCCTGGGCACAACTGACCTCCTATCTTAGCCTCCTGAGTAGTTGAGACTACAGGTCAGCACTACTAAGTCCAGCTAGTTAAAAAAATATATACATATATTTTTAACATATGTGGTCTCGCTATAATGTCCAGGTTGGTCTTGAACTTCTGGGCTCAAGTGATCCTCCTGCCTTGGTCTCCCAAAGTGCTGGAATTACAGGCATGAGCTACCAGGCCTGGCTGGTTAACCATTTATTCAAGCTCTGAAACAAAGTGGCACAAAACAATGACTGTTTCTTACTCTTTAAGGTCAACAATGTGTTTCTTGGTTCTCCCCAATGGCTTTGAAATAACACAGTCTCTAGCTTTTGAAAACATGATAAATAAGAGAGTATCCTGGTTGCTGGAACAATATTTCATTGTAGAAGATTCTCCTTCACTTGTGAATAAACTATCCAGTAAGAAAACCAAGTCTGTCTTTTTTTTTTAATATATACCCATCGAGATGCTTTTTCCACGGCTCAAAATGGTTTTTGAGCCCAAGTCCATCTCTGCAGAGCCATCTAGCTGATGACCGCCATTTTGAGGGGAGCAGTGCAGGTAAAACTGACATCTGTTCTAGGTTTCCATCCTGCTGGCACAGCATGGATCCTCTTTGGTCTTTTATCAGGCAAAAATGAGAGCATAATTCAACGGCAGGGTCTGCCTCAATACGAATTATACTCAATATAAAGTCAGTATCAATTAAATTTGATTAAACGGTGTCCCAGAGATCAGGTCCCATGTTACTCTGCAGGTCTCCAGTCACTCACTAGACAAGAATTCAACAAGTTTCTAAGGAGGCACTCAAGAAGCTCTTGCCCAGGATACCTTCCAAGACATTTGCTTGAAACAGTTGTAGAGGGAGCCCTGTGGGCCCGCCCCCAAGCTGATCATCAGCTTCTTCATCTCCAGAGAGACAAACATATCTTTCCAGCCCCTAAACAGACTTAATGTGCTGAGAATGATGCTAAGCAGCATCCTCAGGACAAGACTCAAGGAGGCGAGAGGTCCTGAAGGGTGAAGACTCCCAGGGAGCTGACTTACAGATGACTCCAGGGGTTAGCAGGCTATATTTGGTAGAGTCTCAGGAGATGAGAGAAGAAACCCTTCGAGGTTGGAGCTTCTGGATACAGAACATGCCAACTCAGAGCACTGGTGTTCTCAGCCTGTCTTTCTTGGTCATGGCCATGATTCTCATGACTTCACAGGGCTAAAGAGGACAGCTTCAGGGCTAGGCAGCCAGCCTGTGGCATGAATGTCACAAGGGAGCTGCTGGTTCAGCCAGTCTGTGCTTAGATAGCTGTCTGCAACAGACTCTGTTCCAGGCGGTGCAGACAAAACCTAAGTGCTGCCCAGCACGACATGCCTGGGAGGCACTCCATTACACCGCCAGGCTGGGGAGGATCTCGGGAGAAAGCATGGTCCACTAGGGCTTGGGAAACACATATGGACTAAATTCTGGTCATGCCACTTAGTAGCTGTGCAACCTTGGCAGTTCTCACACCCTCCTGAAACTGACTTCCCTATCGGTGAAATGGGACTGCTGCATCTAAAATAACTGTCGTAAGAAGTGACTCACCCACATGTATTGAGCTTCTGGCACACAACAGGTAATTAATAAAGGTTAGTTCCCTTCTGCTTGATGGTCTGTGTAGCAATGGAATCCAAGGACTGCAGGATTTCCAAAGAGGGAGCGATCACCGTGGGCCCAAAAGACCCTCAGGCAAAGGTGCATAGAGAACATGTTTCCGTTCATCTTAGAAGAAGGGAGGGTCAGAGGGTGAGTGCAGGGTGCAGTGTGAACCTGGTACCGAGGTAGGGAGAAGTAAGGGCTGGGGGAAGAGGAGGGAGAGTGTGTGTGTGGACAGCAAGCAGTCAAACTGGGAACTGTCAAAGTCAGACAGGTGCTTTGGGAACGGCTCACGGAGGGCCCAGTCTAAAGTTGGTCTGAACTTTATCCCAGTCAGCGAGAATCCATCAAAGGGTTTTGAGTAGGGGAAAGGGCAAAACAGAAGCAGTGTGAAGATGCCCAATTGGAGATGGACTTCCAGACCACAGTGAAAGAGCCTGGAGGCAAGGAAAAGAATGTGGAGATGATCCAGAGGACTGTGGGAACACACCTCACAGCAACAGGGAGAAGAGAAAAAGAGGCACAGTGGAGGGACTGCTTGAAAGGCGGGGAGGAGCCAGGAGAGGCAAGTCAGACGGCCCAGGAAGAATGGTGCTCAAGGTATTGAATGTTGCAGAGTCACCCAAGGAGAAAGGCTGCCACTAGCAATTCTGCAGGAAGCACGCCTGGGACTGTGGCGAGGACAATGCATCTCCCCAGACGACTCCCAGCTGCTCCTTCTCTCATGTTCCTTCCTCTTCTCTAGCTCTTGGTCCTCAGAGTGAAAGGCATTCCAGCCCCTTTCACTATCAAATCATACATTTCGTTTAAAACATGACATAATGGAAAGTCTTTCTTCCACCTCTTCAAATTCACTTAAGTTTCCCTTAAGCATAAATGCAAATTGTTGGTTTACAATTAATAACCAACATTTAGGAGATGAAGACCCACAGGTTATCTGGTAGCAAGAACAGTTATGTGTGATGCCACCGACTTTGGAGGTGGGGCGATGTGCATGGCAGGCTCCTGAGTCGGTCCAAGCCAGCTCCAGTTGACCACGGACAGAAGGAAATTCTTGACAGTTTAAGAGCCATGGCATTAGAGATAAGTCAACCAGGAAAAGAAACTTTACCAGGGATAGGACACACCTATATTTTAATGAAACTGACCAGTAACACAATCTCACAGAGGACAGACTTGCTCCAGGATAAACCGTAATTTCTAATTGCAGTGGAGCATGTTAGCAAGTGCTTATTCTGTGCCAGATGCTGTGTTTGGCACGTGACATATGATCTAGCTGAGTTCTTTATCTGCGACTTTCTGGCTTTATGATTTAAAGGAAAAAAATCACCTATCTACACTGGGCTTGTTTCCTCACTGGAAGATGGAGAGCCATAAGAGGATCATGGTTTTTTTTTGAGTTGGAGTCTCACTCTGTCACCCAGACTGGAGTGCAGTGGCTGCTTCTGGCCACCGCAGCCTTGACCTGCTGGGCTCCGGCGATCCTTCCACCTCAGCCTTCCAAGTAGCCGGAATTACAGGCATGCGCTACCACGCCCGGCTGATTTTTTTGATTTACTGTAGAGATGAGGTCTCGCTGACCAGGCGGGTCTCGAACCCGCGGGCTCAGGCAATCCACTCACCTCAGCCTCCCAAAGGCGCGGGATTACAGGCTGAGCCACCGAGCCCGGCTGAGGATCATGTTTTCAAAGCATGTGCCACGGAGCCCTATATAGCCCTGTGGTGACAGCTGGGGAAATGGCCAGTGCGTCTCGGGCTCATGACCCCTGCTTTGGCATGAACCGACTTTCGCTTGTTTTCCCTGTCAGGACGCTGCTTAGGAGTTCATTGACAAAAACAGTTTTGAAAACTACTAGATTTGATTTCTAAGATGTCTTCATTCTAGGATTCTAAATCCCTCCTGGCAGCCTGAAAGCTGAAGAACAAAAATGTCTGATTATATAATTTTATGAGTTAAGAGGTATGTGTCTCTTGACAAGTAATCTTTCCTTGTCTATTACTGGAGTGAACAGTGACATCAAAATAACTTGGCTTTTCTTTGTTTTTTGAGCTGGGGTCTTGCTATGTTGCCCGGGTTGGACTCAAAATAACTAGTTTTTGATCTATGAATCCAGAAGGGAAAATCAGGATAGAAAGTTCTGCTTTCAGCTGCACAAGGCTTAGCAGTAAGGAACATCTGTCATGACTGCAGAACATTAGCTTGCGATTCATGACGATCCCGTGCGGCACAACAGATGAGAGCAGCTTCATGTGTACCACATCAAATGAGAGAAGCTGAGACAGAAGACGGGCTCCCGACTCCAATCTCAGCCTCCGGCAGCAGTAGGACCATTTTGAAAAAGAACTAAACAACACATCTCTTTCATTTCCAACCATAAACAGACAGCTCAACAAATAATTTTTAAAGCTTGCTGGAGAAGAAAGTGCTAGCAGACACAGCTCCAGATGAAGACAAAGCAAAAATGCAAGCGATGAAAACTCCTAATGGCCACTGGGTGACACTTGTCTCCGGGAGCTGCCTTCTAGAGCAAATTGGAAGACAGGACTTCCCAAATGGAAGTCTACATGCTCCGGCTCCCGGCATCCTCTGCCTGTGCTGCTGCTGCTCATTTCTGCTTGTCTGCTTGCATTCACTTCAAGCCATTTTGATACTGAGAAGCAGCATGAGCTGGGTCTTGGGAGGAGGGGAGCAGCTCAACACACAGACAGATACTTCCCTGCAGCTCCAACGTCTTTTCATGATTATATAGGACATCTCATTAAAATCAAAACAGACCACACTGCTTTGGGGCAGATATTCTAAATGGGCCTCCTAGACCTTTCCCCTTTTTATATTCATCACTGAAGCTTTGACAACGCCATGAGGATGACAATACATTAGGGGACCGAGGGACTGGAAAAGCTCTTCTCAACTTACTTGGGGTGGCTGTAGATCCGAAGCCCCCGCCGGCCGAGCTGAATGGGTTTTTGTTGGCTGCATCCTGGCTGGGTTTCCCTCCAAGGCCACTGAAGAAACCTCCCCCTTGTCCAGTGTTTCCAGACCCAAACACACTACCACTGGAAGAGGATGACTGCTAAAAAACAAAAGGGGCAGGAAGCAAGATAGGATGAGAGGTCATCGTAAAATGGCAGGCCAAATCTGTGGGCAGGAGGAGCTCCCAGTTGATAGAAGTGGAAAAAGCAAGTGAACGCTGATTAGTCCTGGTACGGATACTCTAACAACCACAAAAGAAGCTGGGTTCTGGACAGCTATAGATCACAAGTTCTTAGGCCATTCCAGGCTCACAGGTCTCTGGAAGTGTGACTTATGGTAGGTGGAAACTTTCAATGTTTATCTGCCCTGCTGTCTGCATTCTGTTTGACACAAATGCCAGGGGCAGGAAAACCAACTCCACCAGAGGTTCACCAAATAAAAAAGTTTGAAAACATGCAGAGGCTGTTATAAGCACCACTTATTCTGGTTCCTCCAGTGTTTGGCTGAATGCATCAGCAATGAATGCTAAGTGATTTATACTGTCTTTCTCTCAACTTGTGCACTTTTATTTCATAATGACTTTCCCAGTGCTGCAGAAATAGTTTTAAATTAGCTCCATTGTTAAAATGATGACCATGGCTGAATTCTGTCCAAATCTTACGCTCAGAGGATGCTGCTAACTTAGGGGCAAACGCTGACTCAAAGCTGTATCAGGCCCCAGACACTTGACTTCTCTGTCTGGAAACTGGTTCTTTGAGAACAACCGGTGCAACATTTGAGGGACCATTCACTTTAGTTAAGTGGGAAATCTTCTTGGCCGATAATGCAGAACCACCTGGGCTTTAGGAATGGGTCACTTTGCACAGGTGCTTACAGAAGCAGAGTGCTGTTGTTGGTCCTCCTCTGTAAAATGGGGGCAATAAGCTACCTGCTTCAAGACGTTGGTGAGTGATTTAAATGAGCTAAGAAATGTCAACACACTTCAGAATGGGTCATGAAACAGAATTCCATGCTCAATAAATGGTTGCTGTTCAGTACTTTAACAATAATGGGACCAATACTCTATGGACCAAGCACTTTGCATGTGCCACACATTTTCTAAGTACTTTCTAAGTAATCATTTACTTCCTACAAAGTCAAACCTCCAGCTGGCCATGTCTAAAACATCCCCCCCAGGGCATCCCGCTTGTCCCTCTGGTCTGAGCCACCTAACCACAACCTTGTGTCCAGATTATACAACAACTTAGCTGGTCTTCTGCTTCCGCCACAATTGACATTCACACAGCAGCTGGAGCACTACTTGAAATGGCAGTCAGATCACTTCACTCCTGTTTACAAATTCTGAAAAGCCCATTGTGATCCGCCCCCATCCATCTCTCTGGTTGGCTTTTATTACCTTTCCTTTCACTTGGGACAGTCACATCTGTCTTTGGTACCTTGCTCTCTTTGCTTTTCCTTTAAATTTATTTTAAAAAAAAGTACCAATTCACCACAATCATTGAATGGTGAATAACAACTTTTTAAAACTAGGAATCAAATCCAATCATAAAACCATAGGCTTTGATAACTAGTAAACTGTCACTGAAAGGAAGAAAACCCTGCCAACAAATGCAAGTGTGTGGAAAGTATCAGACTGCTTAGTTGACTTCCACACATCAGGCTGAAACACAGACAACTGCCAACAAGATGGTGCAGCCTAATTTTATTCTCCCATTCAAGCACAGACCAGGCCCAATCCTGCTTAACTTCCAAGAATAGATGAGATCGGGCGCATTCAGAGTGGTATGGCCATAGATAGTCAGCATAATTTAAAAATGTGGTTTGATAAATGGCTACCCATAGAAACAAAGTAGATAACTGACTACTTCACTGAAGCCAGTGTGAATTGCTAGTTAGTGCATCCTCATAAATGAATGAGAATTTCGTTCATTTTAATTGCGATAATAACATTAGGTTTTAAAACTTAAAATTATGGAACATTTAAAAAATGTACAAAAAGCCGACAGAAGAGTATAACGAGCACTCCACACACCCATCAATCAGCCAGTTCTAACAGTGGTTAACTCATAGCCAGTTGGGTTTTGTCTTTACCCCCAATTGCTTTCATCCTTTATTAGAATGAAGTAAATCTCAGACATCACTTTATCTACTCATTTTCCAGTATAAATCTATAAAACATAAACCATAACCCACAAGGCCATCTTATAAATTTTTTTAGTAAGAATGCTTGATATCACTGAATAAAGAGTAAGTGTTAAAGATCCAGGTTTACTTATAATATTGCAAAAAGAACCAAAAAAAAAAAACCAAATCAAACTTCACTCTCATCAAGAGTCACTCAAACTTGGCTGAGCACTGTGGCTTAGATTATCCCAGATTCCAGATTCAGCCACTCCTTCACAGGAAGTAAGAGAAGACTGAGAACCATGATAATTTGTAAGCTATACCAGGGGATCATGGGAAACTCTACAGGACAAATGATCAGTTTTCAACAACTGAACTACCAGGAAAAATTTAAAAGGGAGACATGAAGGGGGAATCTATAGATAAAGAGACATATCAATCAATCTCAATGTGTGGTTCTTATTTGGTTGTAAGTCAAAGAAATAAAATGTAAAAAGAAAAGAGAGACATTGATAAGATTTCTTCAGTAGTGTTTCTTGATCATCTAACCTAAACCATCTTCCCTGATTACTATCACACAATGCTTTATTTCTTCATAGCACTTAACACTATCTGAAATTACACTGTTTTTATTAAAGATTGACACTCTCCATCAAAAGGAAGACCTATGAACAGGGTCACTTTTGTCTGTTCTGTGCACCACTAATTCCTATGTTCTTGCATGAATGATTAAATTAATTTAGACAAACCTTGGTTTCTAGTTCTACAATCTGCTAGCTATGTATTCCATCTTAACAAAGTGTTAAGTCTTCTGATTCATGAACATGGGATGTATTTCCATTTATTTAGATATTATTATTATTTTTTAAAGAGGCAAGGGTCTCAACATGTAGCCCAGGCTGGTCTTGAACTCCTGGCCTCAAGTGATCTTCCTGCCTTGGCTTCCCAAAGTGCTGGGATTACAGGCATAAGCCACTATGTCCGGCCACATTTATTTTGCTCCTCTTTTAATTTCTTTCACCGATGTTTTATAGTATTCATTGTATAAGTTTTGCACTTCTTTTGTTAAATTTATTCTACCCCATCTGTCTCCTCCTTCCCAATTCTGATTACCTATGTTGGACTGCCTGATATTGTTGCACAGGCACTAATGCTCTGTCTGATTTTTTTTTTTTTTGGTTTCTCTGACCTTCATTTTGAATAATTTATATTGACATGTCTTCAAGTCCACTGTTCTGTAGTGTTCACTGTGCTGTTAAGCCCTTCTAATAATTTTTAATTTCACATACTAGATTTAAACTTCAAATACAAATCAAGACTTTCTATTTGGCAAACAGCTGCTAGAAGCAAATGCCAGGTCTGGGTTGGGCAAGCAGAGGTTTTTTTTAAATGTCCATTTATCTGCTGAGCTTACTTATTCAACTATCCTTCCATTATTTTCTGGGATATCCTTGCGTACAATAATTACTTTAATGTCTCTGTCTCTGGTTACAATATCTGAATCATCTGTAGGTTAACTTCTGCTGACTTAAAAAATCTGAGTGTGGGTCCCTTCCTTTTTTGCTTGCTTTGTATGTTGCATACTTTTTTTGGGTATACTAGACTTCACATATAGAACACTGGTGACTGAAGAACACTAATGTATTTCGCAGACAGTGAGAGTTCTTGCTTTCACCTGTAAAGTGAGGTGGTAATTATTTAAATTTCACTAAGGGTTGATCTGCAACAGAGTCACAGATTTAAGAAGGCTGAGCTCACTTCCGGTTACCCCACAGTCTCTGCTTAGGGTCTAGATTATTTGTCTTATAAGCGTCTGAGCCCAGAGCTAGGCGGTAACTTGGTTACAATATCAACTTCAGACACAAAAGTTCCAGACAACAGAAGAATACAAGCCAGACTGTGTACGTTTTTTTTTTGCTTTCAGTACAGTCTTTACTTCTTTTTTCTTAGCAAAAGTGGCGGTGTGGTGTAGCGAGGAGAACACCTATGCCAAGTCGATGCATTCTTCATTTGAAAGTCTTTTAGATCCCAACTTGTCTTTTTAAAAAACAGCTTACCTGAGCTATAATTCACATGCCACACAATTCACTGGGTTAAAGTATAACTCAGTGGTTTTTGGTAAGTCATCACCAATTTTTGAAAATTATGATAAAATACATATAACATAAAATTTGCCATTTTTATCTTTTTTTTTTTTAGTTGGAGTCTCACTCTGTTGCTCAGGCTGGAGTGCATTGCCTGCTCATGGTCACCGCAGCCTCGACATGCTGGGCTCAGGTGATCCTTCTGCTTCAGCCTTACAAGTAGCTGGAACCATAGGCACACCATGCCTGGCTAATTTTTTGATTTATTGTAGAGATGAGGTCTTGCCAAGTTGCCCAGGCTGGTCTCCAGCCCATGAGTTCAGGCAATCCTCTTACCTCGGTCTCCCAAAGTGCTGGGATTATAGGCGCGAGCCACTGTGCTCGGCCTATTTTTTTTACCACTTTTAAGTGTACAATTCAGTAGTGTTAACTACAATCAGAATGCTGTGCAACCATCACCACTATCTACTTTCCAAAACTTTTCATCACCACAAACCAACATTCTGTAACCATTAAGCAATAACTCCACATTCCCTTCTCTCCCTAGTTGCTGGTAACCTCTAATCTACCAGCCATAATATTAGTGAGGTCAAATTTTCATTCTGTCTAAAGAATATCCTTTAGAATTTCCTTCAGGTCTATGAGATAATTTCCTCAGTATTCGTTTATCTGAAAAAAAGTCTTGATTTCTCTTCATTCTTTTTTTTTTTTTTTTTTGAGTTGGAGTCTCACTCAGTTGCCCAGAGTGGAGTGCAGTGGCCGCTCCCAGCCACCGCAGCTTCGACCTGCTGGGCTCTGGCGATCCTTCCGCCTCAGCCTTCCAAGTAGCTGGAACTACAGGCATGCGCTACCATGCCCAGCTTATTTTTTGATTTATTGTAGAGATGAGGTCTCACCAAGTTGTCCAGGCGGGTCTCGAACCCACGGGCTCAGGCAATCCACTCACCTCAGCCTCCCAAAGGCGCGGGATTACAGGCTGAGCCACTGAGCCCGGCTCTCTTCATTCTTTAAAGATATTTTTTGCTGGGTTTAGAGATTCTAGGTGAACAGACTGTCTTCTGGCTTCCATGATCACTGCTGATAAGTCAGCTGTCAGTCTGACTACGTCTCCCTAGAAGCTGATATTTTTTCTTTGGTTATTTTAAATATTTCGTCTTTGGTATTCTGCCATTTCACTAGGATAGGTCTCAGAATCAACTATCTTCTATGCATTCTGTTGGGCTTTTGAATCTGTGAGTTACTGTTACTGATTAATTTTGAAATTTTTGTCTTTTTCTCTTCTAACATTGCACATACATTTCTCTCTTCTCCTTCTGGGACTCTGATCAAATGTATGTTATCTCTTCTCTGAAAGGATTTTTATTCTTTGTTTTCTTCATCTTTTCTGCTCACTGTGATGCACTCCAGATAACTTAGTTTAACCTACAAGTTCAAGAGTCAGCACACTACAGCTCAAGGACAAATCCTGCCCTTTATTATGTTTTAATAAAGCTTTATTTACAAAAACTGCCTGTTTTTGTAAATAAAGTTTTATTAAAACATAACCATGCTCACGTGTTTACATACTGTCTGTGACTGATTTCGTGCTACAACAGGAGGGTTGAGTGGCTGTGACAGACACTGCCGACAGTCCTCAAAGCCTGAAACACCATATCTCATCCTGTTCTCACACACTATTTTTTTTTTTTGAGTTGGAGTCTCATTCTGTCGCCCAGACTGGAGTGCAGTGGCCGCTCCCGGCCACTGCAGCCTTGACCTGCTGGGCTCTGGTGATCCTTCCGCCTCAGCCTTCCAAGTAGCCGGAATTACAGGCATGCGCTACCACGCCCGGCTGATTTTTAAAAAATTTATTGTAGAGATGAGGTCTCGCTGCCCAGGCAGGTCTCGAACCTGCAGGCTCTGGCAATCCACTCACCTCAGCCTCCCAAAGGCGCGGGATTACAGGCTGAGCCACTGAGCCCGGCTTTCACACACTATTGCTCTTTTCAGTTGGGTCTAATCTGCATAAAATATAGCCACTAAATTTGAAACTGAGTTTAATTATTGAATTTTTCTAGAAATTCTATTTGGTTCTTTGTCAAAACTGCTATGATACTTCTTATAACTTCCCATTCCTTACTGGTGTTTTTGTCTTTTATTTCTTCTAAACTGTGTAAAGCACAGTTGATTTATAATCTAGGTTGTCTGCAAAAAGGTATTTCTGATGTTAATTCTGGTTCTTGCGCATCATTCCTTGTTTCTTTGTGTGACTAATTTAGGCATGGGATTAAATGTCCTTAAAATTATTTCTAAGAATCAGAGATCTAGAGTAAAGTTCCTTTTCTTCAGAATGGGTCTGTGCTGCTTCTGTTAGTCATCTGGAGGCACCACCACCCCAGAATCCATCAGGCCACATTCCCAGGCTAGGGCCTGAGTGTGGAGTCCTAGCTCACTGTAGGGGGGAGTCTCTTTCAGATTCCCCACTCTGTGCATGGCTTAGTGATTTCTGTCCCTTTACTTGGGATCATTAAATAGAAAACTCACATTTTCTCAGGTGAGTAACTATTGTCAGGGCAAAGCTGGCTCTGGGCTCTACTTTACTTCTATAGGGTCCCATTTTGCCTTTTGTTTAATCTGGCTTGGTAAAATACCTTGTTAGCTTACTCTTAGAAATAGGGTTTTTATGTTTGTAGAAGTTTTCAGGAGGGAACTTGGTTTGAATGACCTCATCCTTCATTACCAGAAACTAGAATTCAAAAGTTTCATTTCTCTCTTTTAAGAAAGATCACTGACTAGGATGGAGCCCATTTTTAAAGGAAAACAGAGATGATAAAGAAAATCTCCTACTGAAGATGTGTAAGAAACATAATATGCCTAATACTTTAACTGTTGGACTAATACCAATTCCACCCTCAGAAAGTCACAGTTATTTCAGATACATCAGAGCATCTTTCTTCAGAAGGGTTCCTTAGGAGGTTAATATGTGGTAAAAGCAGCTAGTATGTGATGTGACAGTAAATACAATCTCTTTGGTCCCTCAGTGTCTTCATCTCTCAAATGGGGATAATAACAGCATAAAACTCTGCCTGGTACGCAGGCAACTGCTTACGTAAGGTGAAATAGCTCATCAAAAGGAATCCCTGGACTACATACAGAGGGGCTACATATAATCTCTACTGCAAATTCCTCTTTTTAAAAAAAAACAAAAAAACCAACCATTTAAAATTACCAAAATCAGCAAAATCATGTTTAGCTCAAGAACAACCAAACAAGGCCGAGGGGTATATTTAGTCCACAGACTGTAGTTTGTCAAACCTTGGCCTAACAGAACAGGCAGAGGATTGCTAGAAATCAGGTAATGTGCTTTTAAAGACCTTGCCCAGAGAACTGTTGAAGAAGGAGCAAAATTCTAGTGATTCTCTTTAACCGGAAATTGAGACTTGTCTTGTGTATCACTAAGGCAGTTGAATAGAGTGAAGCTAAGAACCACTTATGGTTGTTTTCTGGGCTTGGACACACATTAACTGATTATACTATGGTGGAAAACATTGAATGGGTTTGATATATGCTGACATGAATAAAGACAAATATATATTTACCTGGCCAAAGACTGTTCCACCAGTACTGGCTGCTTGACCAAACACAGAGCCAGTATTACTTGACCCAAAACCTATAAAATACAAAGAAAATTCAAGTTCAATTTGGATGAGTCTTTTACAACATCCAAGTGTTTTCTGTTTTTAAGTGGCATTCAAGTGTGCTAAGATAACCCACAATAAATCAATTTAGGAAGAAAATGATTCCTATCTAGGAAGTAGAGAAAATTTTGAGTAAATACTTTCTTTTTTTTTTTTTTTTTTTTAAGTCAGAGTCACATTCCATTGCTCAGGCTGGAGTGCAGTGGCATGCTCATAGCCACCCCAGTGTCGACCTGCTGGGCTCTGGCGATCTTTCCGCCTCAGACTTCCAAGTAGCTGGAACTACAGGCACGTGCTACCATGCCCGCATGATTTTTGATTTACGGTAGAGTTGAGGTCTCGCCAAGTTGCCCAGGCTGGTCTCGAACTCGCGGGTTCAGGCAATCCACTCACCTCGGCCTCCCAAAGTGCTGGGATTACAAGCTGAGCCACTGAGCCGAGCCTGAGTAAATACTTTAAAGAATTTTATTCATGGCTAATGTTTTATAATAGTATAAATTCCGAAGTTACAAGGATTGAAGCCTCTCTCCTCCCAAATCCCAAGTGAGCAGGGGTAGTAAGATGGTATACTCTCAGAGGTGCTTCTCCCCATGCTTTCAGCCACCAGGAATTCTTTCCAATAAATGACCTAACATTATGAATATTTCTACTCCCTGGTTTCCTCTGAATCTCAAATACCAGATTCTTTCAGGGTAGTTTATCTTTCTTCCAGATCGCATAACACGGTTGAAGTGCTGGGCTGAACAGAGCTGGGGAAAATCGGACAGAACTATATTATTATGGGCAGGGTACAGTAGCTCATGCCTATAATCCTAGCACTCTGGGAGGCCAAGGTGGGAGAACTGTTTGAGCCCAGGAGTTTGAGACCAGCCAAGGCAACATGGTGAGATCTTGTCTCTACAAAAAAAAAATCAGCCTGGTGTGGTGGTATATGCCTGTAAGTCCCAGCTACTTGGGAGGCTGAGGTAGAAGGATCACCTGAGCCCAGGAGGATAAGACAGTGGTGAGTTGTGATCATGCCACTGCACTATAGCCTGGGTGACACAGTGAGACAGACTTTAGAAATAAAGAATTATATATTATGACAAAGAGCTCTAGACAAGGTAGGAGTTCTTTTATTTCTGTCACTGATTGGGTGGGTGAGCTTAGGTAAGTCCAGGACTGGAGCAGACAGCTTAGGTACCTTTCTACACAGTTACTAAATGAGAGAAGAATGTTCCTTCAGGGGTTCTGAATTTGATGAAATGGTTTGATCATGCCTGTGCATGATGGCTCCTTAAGTTTTAGCTGCAAAACAATCAATGTAATAGAAATGGAGATCATGTTAAATATCCTCCTCTCTTTGAAAGCCCATGGGCCTTCTCCCTGCCAATTTTCTAGAACACATCAGCACATCTCCCATCATTCAGAGGCCAATTGGCCTCTTCCGAGGCATTAGGCACATCTCACAACTATGACTGTCTTTAGATTACTGTGCCCTTATAGCTGAACTTCGGAGATTAATAAACATTTGAAGAAAAATATTTCCTTTCTAATAAATTATGACTCATTTTCAAAAATATTATCATTGAAGAAATGAACCAGCAGTGATCAGTAATCTTGCCCACCAAGAAATCATTGACACTTGTTTTTCCCCGACAGCACAGTGAGACACTGACTCAAAAAATAAATATAATAAAACAGGGCATGCAAGCCGGGCCTGGTGGCTCAGCCTGTAATCCCGTGCCTTTGGGAGGCTGAGGTGAGTGGATTGCCTGAGCCCGCGGGTTTGAGACCCGCCTGGGCAGGCGAGACCTCATCTCTCCAATAAATCAAAAAATCAGCCGGGCATGGTAGCGTGCGCCTGTAATTCCAGCTACTCGGAAGGCTGAGGTGGAAGGATCGCTGGAGCTCAGCAGGTCGAGGCTGCGGTGGCCAGGAGTGGCCACTGCACGCCAGTCTGGGCGACCGAGTGAGACTCCAACTCAAAAAAAAAAAACAAAAAAACAGGGCATGCAATAGTGAAGGACTAAGTTTCGCTGTCAAAAACAGTGAATTTAAGTTGGAAAAAGGCTTAACTCCTCAAATACAGTTACAGTAAGATGGCATTAAAAGAAATGCAAAATCATGGCAGGATGATGAGCTACAGTGATGACACCAGATTCTCCTGCCTCCACTAGCACTGTCTGGCATTAGATGGGTCTCCTTGAGGCGTGACAGCTTTGGACCTCTAATTGTCTTTCAAATTTAAAGTTTCCTATGTACGAGTCATTAAATGATCCGTCAGGACCTTAAACTCAAGGTGCTTGCTTTTTCCTCACGAAACTGATACTCTGGAGGCTAGCAGAGGAGCTGTACTGAGCCGTCACAGATCCAGCCAATGAGACCTAAGAGATTCCTGACACCGCATGTGCTCTAAGCTCCCTTCTGGGTCCTACAGGTTATTTTGGGGGTGTTTCCCCCTCTTTCTCTTAAAAACTAATACCGCTTTGCTGCAAACGTTTCAAATAGCACAGAGGGGAGCCAAATAAAAAGCTCCCATACATTCATTCTTACCTGAAGCCTGGCAAAAGCTAAAGCCAGAGGATGCTGCCGTGGTGGTGGCAGCCGAGGTCCCACCAAATACGGAGCCTCCCGGCCCAAAGCCAGGACTCTGACCAAAAGCAGGAGGGTTGCCTTGGCCAAACAGCCCCGCTCCTGTGTTGGCAGAAGACTGTCCAAAGGAGAAGGAACTGGAGCTACTGGCACTTGAGGAGGCACCAAAGACATGTCCACTGGTGGATGTGGGGGTGGAGGCAGCCGACTGGCCGAAGGCGGGCACGGAACTGAACCCGGGCTGGCTGAAGGAAAAGCCGCCTGCAGGGCTGCTCGTTGACTGCCCAAAGGCTGGGGCCTGTCCAAAGGGCGTCTGTCCAAAGACCCCTGGCGTTGGGGCAGAGGCGCCAAAGGCTGGACTGCCAAACCCCGAGCTGCTGACCTGTGGTGTGGTGCATGCTGTGCTGGCTACACTGCCTGTCTGCTGCCCGAACAAGCTTGGTGCAGTGCTGGTTGCCACCTGCCCAAACACGGGGGTGGTGGAGGGGGCTGTGGCTGCATTGCTGGTGAGCTGGCTGAAAGCTGAGCTAGCACTGGCGGCCGGGGGCTGTGTAGAGACCGAGGAGCTGGAGGCGACAGTCCCAAACACTGCTGCCTCTGTGGCTGGGCCGGAAGCAACACTGGAAGCAGTGCTGGAGGCGGTGGAAGTGCCTGACGTCTCAACGGTCACAGGGCCTGCGGCGCTTGAGACGGCCGCTGCTGTGGCCGCCATCTGCCCGGAGGTTGGAAGGGTGAGAGCAGGAGATACTGCCTCTGCCCTGACATCAGGGCCTGTGGTGGCTGCTGGAGTGGCCTCTGCAGAAGGTGCTATGAGACTGGGACTAGGTGCTGGGGTGCCAAGGTTGCTGACTGCAGGCTGGGCAAGAGCAGATTCTTTCTTAGCAGAGTCAGAAGCGTGCAGAGGAGCCTGGGGAAGCTGGGCTGATGGCTGCTGCCCTGAAAGTGATGAGGATGTGGAGACCTCACTGCTGCCTGGTTTCTCAGACAAAGTGGGTGATGTGGCCTCCTCTGTGCTTTTACCAGAGGGCACAGGCAGGGAAGGGGCAGATGTTGAACTCAGAAGGCTACTGAATGACAGTGTGGGGAATGCTGTCAGAAGGGAAGTGGCAGCTGTAGTTGTTGGTGCAGCCGAGGGGGACACTGTGCTACTAGTCTGTTGGCTTCCAAATGAAAAACCAGTCTTGCTACCACTTAGCAATGTCCCACCAAAACCAATGACCCCGGAGGATCCCGCACTGGTGAGTGACAGACTGCCAAAAACACCAGTCGGGGAACTGCCAGCACTTGTGCTGGTGGCTGCTGGCGGTGATACTGCGGTCGCAGTCACAGAGGAGGTCACAGGAGGCTCCACATGCTTCCCTAATGCTGGAGGGTTAGTAAAACTAAACCCTGAATGTACACTTGAAGTCTTGGCTGGCTGGGCACTAGTCTGGCCTGTGGATGAAGCCTTACTGGCTGGCTTTGTAGAATCATCTGCTTGGCCAACCCGTAGACCTGAAAAGCTTCCTAGAGTCTCTCCAGCCAAAGAACCTGGAAACAGAAGCTCCCCCAACTTGGACAGTGGCATTTCCAGCTTGCTAGAGGTGGTGGAAAGAGCAATTCCAGAAGGTGCTGCAGGTCTGCTGTTAGATGGGGCAGACTCTCCTGGGGTGGTGTCTGATGCTGATGTGACTGTGGAGGGTGAAGAGCTTTCAGGAATGGTCTCATAAAAAGGTTTGCCTCCCCCGCCAAATGAGAATGCGTCGAGCTGGCTTGATTCTTTGGTGGTGGGTGTCACCCCTAGCAAGAAAAAGAAATTAAACAATGGGTTGGATTTACAAAACATGACCTATCACATTTCCACTGACTGTATTTGTTGCCAATGTTTCTCTCCTCCCTTTATAGGGTCAGGGATAGCTTGTTATAAGGTGGTTTGCTTTAAGGAGACAGAATGAATGCTTCTCCACACAAGCATCAGCTCTGTCTCAGTCATCTCACAAAGGTAAGAGAGAAGAAATGTTCTTTTAATGACTCTTAAGTCACAACAAATACAATATCTAGAAAATGTGAAATTAACATATTATCCCACAGAGAAATAAAAAGGCTTCTTCTCTCATCTTCCCCTGACTACCTGGGTGCTTTCTTCAAAAACATCCTCAGCATAGTGCTACCCTATATGGACCTCCTGATCAGGATTTGATTCACAAGGAAGCTCTTCCTTTACTTTTTATGGGCAAATGAAGTGTCAATCCACAGACAATCACTTTTGTGTACAACTAATGGCTGCTTCCTAGTGCTTTACTAAGTAAGCTGTTTCACAGAGGGAGTGGGGTCGGGCGGAGGTCAGGGTCATGGGCTCTAGAGCCAGGCACTCTGCTACTTGCTGTGTGACTCCAGAAAGATTATTTTGCTTCTCTGGGCCTCAATTTTCCTATTTGGAAGTTAGATAATTATAGTCCCTACCCTTATAGAGCTGTTAGAGAGATCAAATGACATATGGGTAAAGCACACACAAGAAGGCCTGATAAAACAACAGTAGTCAATAGAGTAACAAAAACTTGATATTTATAAACTAAAATTAGCCTATTGCAAGTGTCTACTGAGATTACTAACTCCATATTGTTTTAAGAACTCTGGCTATCACAGTCTCTTGGGGACATTGCAAACCGCCTATTAACCTATAAGTTCTAGAAAGATCCCGCTGTATCACTTGTGTTGTATTGAGTTGTTTGTGGTTTTGGACTGTTTTCTAGTCTCATATTAAAAGAAAGGTTAAATAAAATTACTGTTGTATTATGATTTTGACAATTATTTTGTTTCTCTCCAACCTTTTATATCACTGAGTTGTTTTTTCTCTAAAAAGTGAGAATGAAAAGAAGGTGAGCCTAGAAGGCTGTTCTTCCCTATCTAAGTGGGCAAAGGTTAAAAAAACAAGTTTTAAGAATTAAAATTCTAGCAAGAAAGGCATGAAATCACAAAACTTTTAAAGTGCCAAACTCAGACCAGGTTTAGGAAACCTGCTATGCTTCCAGTATCCTGATCTCCCTTCTAGATGTTAGGAGTTTTCCTTTCCACTAAGAAGACTGCCACTTGGGCAGTGCACAGTGGCTTGTGCCTGTAATCCTAGCACTTTTGGATGAGGCAGGAGGATCACATGAGCCCAGGAGTGTGAGACCAGCCTGGACAGCAGAGTGAGATCTTGTCTCTACAAAAGGAAAAAAAAATTAGCCAGGCATACTGGCATGTGCCTATAGTCCCAGCTACCTGGGAGGCTGTAGAGGGAGGATTGACTGAGCCCTGGAGGTTGAGGCTATAATGAGCCGTGATCGTGCCACTGTACTCCAGTCTGAGTAATAGAGTGAAACCCTGGCACTAAAAAAAAAATCTATTGAGTGACTAAATGAAAGATGGTTAATGTTTTATTTATAATAGGAGAAATCTGAAAATAACTTAAATGTCCAACAAGTGAATGGTTAAATAAACTGTGGCATAAGCATAAGACAAAATTAGGAAACCATTAAAGACAACAATTCAAAGTTTTCAATAATATCAGAAATTTGTATATATTGTATTAAGAAAAAAAAAAGTAAAAGACAAAACCCCTGAAGGAAATATTGCAGAATCACAATGATTATTCCCACTGTGCAATGGTGCAATGTGTGATTCCAAACTCCTTTATTCTTTTTCATATTTCCATATATTCCTCAATGAGAACACATTTTCATAATAAAAGCATTCTTTTGAAAATAAAATATTTTAAGCCGGGCTCAGTGGCTCAGCCTGTAATCCTGCGCCTTGGGAGGCGGAGGTGAGTGGATTGCCTGAGCCCACGGGGTCGAGACCCGCCTGGGCAACTTGGTGAGACCTCATCTCTACAATAAATCAAAAACTTCGCCGGGCGTGGTAGCGCACACCTGTAGTTCCAGCTACTTGGAAGGCTGAGGTGGAAGGATCGCCGGAGCCCAGCAGGTCGAGGCTGCGGTGCCCGGGAGCAGCAACTGCACTCCAGTCTGGGCGACAGAGTGAGACTCCAACTCAAAAAAAAAAGAAAAGAAAATATTTAATTATAAACTGATAACTAGAAGGCACTTAAATAGATTTGGTTTCTTTATAGTCTTTGAATTCTTTTTTTTTTTTTTGAGTTGGAGTCTCACTCTGTCGCCCAGACTGGAGTGCAGTGGCGCTCCCGGCCACCGCAGCCTCGACCTGCTGGGCTCCGGCGATCCTTCCGCTTCAGCCTTCCAAGTAGCTGGAACTACAGGCGAGCATTACCACGCCCAGCTAATTTTTTGATTTATTGTAGAGATGAGGTCTCGCCTGGCCAGGCGGGTCTCAAACCCATGGGATCAGGCAATCCATTCACCTCAGCCTCCCAAAGGCGCGGGATTACAGGCTGAGCCACCGAGCCCGGCTAGCTGGTAGATTTTTAACAACATACACGGGATTAGTGTGTTTGGTGTTATGTTACCAAGGGAAAAAAATGAGCCAAGTCTTTCTGTGTCTATCTTACCCTATAGAGTTGCCCCATAAACTGTGAAACGTCAAATACAGACAAAACAGAGACAGAAATTTTAATTCCTATGTTAACATGTAAATATTAAAGCACAGCTTTGATTTTCCAGAAGAAAATTCTTTCCTTGTTCTTAATTCTGAAAACAGACAGACATCCTTCACATCAGTTTCTTAAACTGAGCATTTTTCTCATGCACGTGATCAACACCAAGCTAACTGCACATGCTGTATGCGAGACTCAGGAGCAAGCAAAATGTCAACATATCTGCACAAAAATTATCTGTACTTGTTTAGGGAAAACACATAAGTAATGCCATGCAAACACAGGGACTGTACCTTGTGTGGCAGTGAAGGTAGATGACGGTGTTGGTGTGATTATCCCAAAATTAAAGCCAGTCCTAATGAGTGGAAAAAAGAGAAATTACAAAGGAACAAACCTAAGACACAATACTGTCCTTTTAATATTCCATTTTATAATTTATTGATACAAACTGCCTTCATGAAATTTACAATCTAGAAGATGAGCATCAAGAGTCAAAGCATCCATCTCAAAAGCAGTGAAGTCATTTGAAGATCTTTAAGCAGGGTGAGGTAAGAAGGGGGCAGCAGGTGAGAGGCCTTGGAGGGATGACGGTTTTATACAGCAGAGGCATGGGTGGGGCCTTATTTCCAGAAAAGCTAAAGTGCAGCAGTAAAAACATATGAGGAACGTGGGAATGGTGGCCTGGGTAGATGGTCTACCTAGTGGGGGGGAAGAAGGAAAGCCTGGAGAGACTAAAGCAGCTGGACCAGGGAGAGTCTCTCACAACCCACTCTAAGACCAAGGAGCGTGTCAGAAAGCTCCGTACTGCTAGAGAGATGACAGACAGAATGAAATAAAAGTTGGGTCACTGCCATCTTGACAGAACAGAGTTCTGGGCTGAAAAAATTTAATTCATAAACTTCTGACTCCTCCTTTTTTGAGTTGGAGTCTCACTCTGTCACCCAGACTGGAGTGCGGTGGCCGCTTCCGGCCACCACAGCCTTGACCTGCTGGGTTCTGGCAATCCTTCTGCCTCAGCCTTCCAGGTAGCTGGAACTACAGGTGCACGCTACCATGCCCGGCTAATTTTTTGATTTATTGTAGAGATGATGTCTCGCCAAGTTGCCTAGGAGGGTCTCAAACCCGCGGGCTCAGGCAATCCACTCGCCTCGGCCTCCCAAAGTGCTGGGATTACAGGCTGAGCCACCGAGCCTGGCCAACTTCTGACTCCTTTCACATCTCTCCTTGTGCTTTCTTTACACTGTAGGTGAAGATACCAGAGCCAAAGAGGAAAACTCAGCACAAGTGTGAACCAGAGCAGATTATTCACTGTGATAAAAATTAAAATGGCAGATTTTAAACTAAATAGTTTAAAAGAAAGGAACTAAGCATATCCAAGATAGTAAATCATGTAAGGATTTAGATGTTTTTTGCTCATCATAATTGAAACAAACAAACAAACAAACAAACATCCCTTCTTTGTCAACAGGCCTCAACCTTGGCAAATACATTTTATCAAATAGAGTCAAGCCGTTGACTCAGTGATCCACCAATCCACCTTACTTTTAAGTGGCAAGAAGACTATCTCACAGAACTAAAGCTTAATTATTAGCATTTGTAGAGAGTGCATAACTTTTGGCTTGGACCTACTCTAAAATTTGCTCTAAATTACCTTTGGAAAGTAGAAAACATAATGACTGATTATAAAGAAAATAATACATATACTATATAACTTCCTCCCTCAAATTAGATCCTAATACCCTTTTTTTTTCCCTAACAAGTTAGACTGAAGGACACTCAAGAAACATATTAACATCAGAAAGAAGAGACTGGTTAATATGATTCGAGTTACAAAAGCATAAACTAAAGAGCTTAAGAGGCTTTCCTAATGGAGACGAATGCACAGCACTATACTTGCAAAAAATCTTTTAACACATTTTGATCTCAGTTACACAGAGTCTAACTCCTTCACTGCAGAGAAGAGAAGACATTGACAGTTCACACAGGTTTCAACACAGAAAACAGGCACCCTCACTCCACGGTTAACAAAGGCTCACCTTGGAAGGAGGTTTAGAAGATTCTTTCACTTTTAAAAACGATTCAACTTTTCAAGTACAATCATCATTATCATTTTAAAAAATGGAACAGAAACAGATTCTTCCATATCTATGCAAAACCCCAAATTATAAACAGCTACTGTCTCTTATTACATTATCTAAGAAATTTAGTACACTGAATTCTCAATTCAGTAAAGTTAATTTAAAGGTCATACCTAGCCCCTAAATGGTGTTAGAATGGAAATATCCTAGAGTGACAAATTAGATGAATTACAGAATTTAACAGAGACTCACCATCCAAAGAAAACAAGACACAGGCTAAAAAGCAAAGCAAACATATAATAATAACACATGCATTAACTTGAGCTGCAAAGGGGAAACAGAATTACATTAGAACATTAAGCTGCCACTATCATCAGATGCATTAATGTAGTGATAAGAACTCTGGGTTCGTGCACACTTAATAAGCATATAATAAGGCCGGGCTCTGTGGCTCAGCCTGTAATCCCAGCACTTTGGGAGGCCGAGGTGAGTGAATTGCCTGAGCCTGCGGGTTAGAGCCCCGCCTGGGCAACTTGACGAGACCTCATCTCTACAATAAATAAAAAATTAGCTGGGTGTGGTAGCGCGTGCCTGTAGTTCCAGCTACTTGGAAGGCTGAGGTGGAAGGATCGCTGGAGCCCAGCAGGTCGAGGCTGTGGTGGCCGGGAGCAGCCACTGCACTCCAGTCTGGGTGACAGAGTGAGACTCCGACTCAAAAAAAAAAAAAAAAAGCATATAATATATCTGCAATTGTAAGATTTGGGGAAAGCCATCTATAAGATTGTTAGCAATTTGTCACAAAACTTGAGTTCATTACTGACCCTGATGGAGAAAATGAGAAAGGCTTGCTGAACTGCCCAGTAGCAGATGGGGTCGAAGTCACAGCTGTTTCTATCTTGGCTGTCCCAGGCCCTGGAATTACAGGATAAAAAATAAGAAAATAACAAAAATTCCATTAGAAATACCGTTCTGGTTTGTAATTCCCTGCAGTGTAGACTGTGTGGTGCTGCACGGAACCACAGTATTCGTTCATGGGCCTCATGTGTGCTCTGTGACAAGTCAAGGGCTGAGGGGAGCCAGCATGTTGCCTAACTTGTGCTCAAGTTCTCTGAACTTGTTCTTTGGTTCTGTCAATGTTAATTCCAATCTAAGGCATGCCACACGCTCCCTTTTAGGAAATATATCAAAATAATTCTAACGCAGTTTAAATTTAAAGTTTAAAAAGTATATTTCTATAGATTTCAACAGTATGGGAAAATGCTTACAATGTGAAACAAGAAAGAAAACAATGTAAAACTACGTATGTATAATGCAGCTTTATAATTATTTGAAATTAATCTCTGATGAAGGAAAAAATCTATAGAGAAATGGGTTAATAAACTAAACATTTCTGAGTCGTGATTTTGAGGCTATTTACAGCTGGGCTCGGTGGCTCAGCCTGTAATCCCGCACTTTGGGAGGCTGAGGTGAATGGATTGCCTGAGCCCGTGGGTTCGAGACCTGCCTGGACAACTTGGCGAAACCTCATCTCTACAATAAATTTAAAAATTAGCCGGGCGTGGTAGCATGCGCCTGTGGGTCCAGCTACGTGGAAGGCTGAGGTGGAAGGATCGCCGGAGGCCAGCAGGTCGAGGCTGTGGTGGCCGGGAGCGGCCACTGCACTCCAGTCTGGGCGACAGAGTGAGACTCCAACTCAAAAAAAAAAAAAGTGCAATCCATTATCCTCCCCAAGTTCAATCACCCTAACTAACTGTTAGGGGTATAATCTTCAATCTTTTTCTTGCTGCTTTACTTTAAAAGGGGGAAGGGCAATTGGAAAATTGCATTTAAAAAGTCCAAATCAAACCAAACTAAATCAAACAATAATAAGAAAAAAACACTTTCTCTTTAAAGAAATAAAAGGTAAATATTAATAAAAAATATTTTAACAACTGCCAGAATACTGTGTAGTGTGTACAAGGCTGTTTACTGCAGCCTTGCCTATAATCTTGAAAAATCAGAAACAGGCCGAGTGCAGTGGCTCACATCTATAATCCCAGCACTCTGGGAGGCTGAGGTGAGAGGATTGCCTGAGGCCACAGGTTCCAGAACAGTCTGGGCAACTTGGCGAGACCTCGTCTCTACAATAAACCAAAATATTAGCCAGGCGTGGTGACATATCCCTGTATTTCCAGCTCCTTGGAAGGTTGAGGTGGAAGGATTGCCTGAGCTCAGCAGGTGAAGGTAGTGGTGGCCGTGAGTGTGCCATTGCACTCTAGCCTGAGTAACAGAGTGAGACTCCAACTCAAAAAAAAAAAGGAAAATCAGAAATAATCTGAACTACCAGCAGAATACTGGTAAAATTTAACAGAGTACAACTACATAATGATTCCTAGGCAGCCATTAAATGAGTAAGGTAGATCTCTATAGGACTCAGAAAGAATCAGACATTTATTATAAGTGGGGTAGAGAAGAAGAAACAGTTTACAGAATCCATATATATATAAGATATGCCTATTTTTGTTTGAAAAACAATGATGAAGGAAGCTTATGAAATATACATGAAATTATCTTTGGAATATAGAGTTTACAGGGCAGTTTTCACTTTGTTCTATAGAGGTTTTAGAAATGCTTTTCTTAAAAAGTTCTTTTCTAAACCTTGATTACCCAGCAAGTAAAAACAGAAGTAAATACCTAGCAATTAAACAGAGTATTTCATAATCATCACTGAAGGGTGAATTTCAGAAATTTATAAGTCACACTACTTGCCTAAAACATGCATGAAGCAAATCCTTAGGTTTCCTTGATACTTAACTTCAAGAGTAACAAAAAATTCTGCAATTAAGTCCTTGAAAAAAGTTAGGATATGTGATTTTTAAAAAACTTTTTTCAATTAGGCAGAGGTCACTGCTTTATTAAAAACTCTGGTGTGTCCACGTGGCTGTCTGAGCTACCACCACCATGTTCCTTAGCTTTGGCCCCCTTCCCTATCTTGGACAGGTGAATTTCTCTCTCTCTCTATCTCCTCTCTCTAATTTATTTTCTAAATAAACTATGCTTTTTGATCTAAAAAATATATATATATATATATATATATATTAGCCAGAAATAGAAACAAATTCCTTAATCTCAATCTAAATGATTCAAAACTCTTTGATGATTCCACTAAAATTTTTCTTTTAACATGTAGTTTTTGGCACCAGTTGAGAAGTGCTATATACTTCTTCCTCATATGAGGCATACAATGCTGACTGTGGTTCTGCATAAATCTGAATTCTAGAACATGACTTTGGCTTACATAGTAACGGTTTACTTCTGAGTACAAGAATTTAATGAAAATAAGTCCACTATACAATCAATAGTTTTGCATTACAGAGAGTAGTTAGAATGACTGTATGACTGAGATTACAAAAAGTAAGCTGCTCATGTGTGAAGTTCAGAGTTTCTAAGAAATTGGTTGAAGACCCACTAAAGAGCATAAAGCAAAATAAAAGCCAGAGTTCAAGTCAGGCATGGTGTGTCACATCTATAATCCCAGCACTTTAGGGTGCAGAGGCGAGAGGGTTGTCTGATACCAAGGGTTTGAGACCAGCCTGGGCAATTTGGTGAGACCTCGACTCTGCAATAAATAAAAAAAGTAGCCAGGTGTGGTGGTGCATGTTCTGGCTACTTGGAAAGCTGAGGCAGAAGGATTGCCTGAGCCCAGTAGGTAGAGGCTGCAGCAGCTGTGAGCATGTCACTGCATTCTAGCGTGTGACACAGTGAGATTTCGACCAAAAAAAAAAAAGCCAGAGTATGGGGAGTGGTAAAAACGCAGGACTACAGATAGCACAAGACCCTCAGAAGGGGAAGCGATGCATACCAAATTAGGTGGACTATAGAAAAGGTGTCAACAAAAGGGGGACAATGAGGAAGACCCACATGAAAATTAGGTTACAAATAAAAGCATTCTTCTTCAAGTTGGTGTGGGCAAAACATTCATGGTTCCTGTGAAAACTAACTTAATCAAGAATAATTAGGCTTGAGTGAGTGTTGGAGAAGTACGCTAAGCCATAAAATCTTATAATATTGGCTTATCTACTCTGAGATCTTACACTATATATAACAAATCTGTTTTACTTTCTAGACTTTCCAGGCTTTTGAATTGTCACTGTGAACCAAGAGAATTTTAATACCTTTCAGTATAAGAAATAGAATTCAAGTCTGATCCATTCTTCTCTAATTTTGATCATCCAGCAAGACAGGAGAAGATAAGACTATTGCTCGCTTTCTGGAAAAAATTTAAAGGAAGATTTTCTCCTAGTGGTCATTTTTTTTTTTTTTTTTTTTGAGTTGGAGTCTCACTGTTTCCCAAACTGGAGTGTAGTGGCACACTCACGGCCACTGCAACCTCAACCTGCTGGGCTCAGATGATCCTTCCACCTCAGCCTTTCAAGTAGTTGGAACCATAGGTGCGTGCCACCACGCCCAGCTAATTTTTTGATTTACTGTTAAGATGAGGCCTCGCCAAGTTGCCCAGGATGTTCTCAAACTCCTGGGCTCTGGCAATCCTCTCGCCTCCGCCTCACAAAGTGCTGGGATTATAGGTGTGAGTTAGTTTAGTTTTTCAAACTAGCCTCAAAATTTTGTAAGTCTATATCGTTGATGAAGCGTTCACTGATTTCCCACAAATTCCTCATTAGCTCACTGTTCAATAAATGATAGCCTTTCAAATATGGTCTATGGCCATACTGCCCTGAACGCATCTGATCTCACTAAATCTGATGTGTTTTCTATGGCAACTGCCTCTGTGATCTAGAACAATAAACTCTCTTGCGAAGCACTTTGTTTTCAAAAAACAAAAATGCAAACTGACCTGAAGCTTTATCACCAGATGACAATTGACTGGATGTTGGTGTGGGTCCAGATGGCTTTAGGGAATTTATTAGAGACCCCTATAATAGAACACAGCAAAACCTTTATGTTAAACCACAAATTATCCTTTGGAATAAATAAACATGTAAAATGTTAATATAAACACATAATTTAAAATAAGGAAACACAAACACTTATTTAGCTTAATTGCCAAAAAGAAAGGAAAGAAAGAATCTGAATTTAAGTCAACCATGTATAGATCATACCAGGGGATGGAAATAGAAATATTCTTCACCAGTTACTTGGAAGGCTGACGTGGAAGGAACCCCTAAGCCCAGCAGGTCAAGGCTGCGGTGGCCGTGAGCATGCCACTGCACTCCAGCCTGGGTGATAAGAGTGAGACTCTAACTCAAAAAAAAAAAAAAAAAAAAAATCAGTCGGGCATGGTGGCACATGCCTGTAGTTCCAGCTACTTGGAAGGCTGAGGTGGAAGGATTGCCTGAGCCCAGCAGGTCGAGGCTGTGGTGGCTGTGAGCATGCCACTGCCCTCCAGCCTGGGTGACAGAGTGAGACTCCAACTCAAAATATATATATATCTATATTCTTCAAGCTCCAAGAAGGCAGAATCATGTTTGTCTAGTTCACAGTTTTTTTCCTAATGTCTAGCACACTGCTCGGTATATAAAAGGTTCTTGCATATTTGGTAGACAAATTAATGAATGAGTAACTGAAAAAAATAGTTTGAGCTCTCAATGCATTTATAGTAAGGTTAAAAGCAGAACTGTTTGATCTGTCCACCTCCACTCAATGTTCCTTTACTGATTTATCATGATTTATGCCTTAATCATGTGTCCTCTGGTGAACATGAAAACCTTGAAAATATCAAATGCTTAAATGCCACTTTAAGTCACGGTAAACTAAGGAACAGAGTCATGTTTGAGGACTCACAATAGGCAAGTCCTGATGTTCAAGCCTCAAACTCTGATCTCAAACACAAACTACAGTGACTCATCTCCAAGACATGTAAAAGTAGAAAGAAACCAAGATTTCTCAGGAAAAGTTTCAGAGATAGCTTGCTCTACCTTCCAGCCATCTCTTCTTATCTTTTTTCTGAATTGTTTAATGGCGTACACTATAACCTCTTTTTGTAAGGGACAAAGTTTATCAGGCAAAAGTCTGAAGGAGACATAACACCACTGAAAATATGTAAACTCTGAAAAACAGGGACTGCGAGAGAAAACAAGGTAGGTAACCTATGATACTGAGCACTGATACTGAACTACAGTGAAACAAGCAGTGGACAGGAAGAAGTGAGAAGCCTCAAATCTCAGCTCTAGTTCACAACTAATTGTGGGTGCCTGAGTGAGTCATTTGAGACTAGGCTTCTTCATTAGGGAGACATATCTCAACACCTGTCCTGTCCATTGCACGTGGTTACGGTATGGATTCACCGAGATAAAGTTAAGTGAAAGGAACCTGCAAAGCAAAATATCTCACATAAAAATGTATGGCATTACAAGTAGAACCTAAGATCACTAGGTGCAGAATGTCCAATGGTCTATGAAGACAATACCAGGTGCTGACGACCCACTTTGATTAACAACAATGTCGAGACTGGCATAAATTGTGAGGAAAGGATCATGGTCTTTATCAGACCTATAGTTCATTTAAACAAAGATCAGGACTTAAAACAGTACAAAGACAGACAATGCATGAATGTTAAAGTAAAAATCAGTAAGTTACCTGCTTGGTTTGGCTAGCAGCCACTGGAGTTAACACTGGGTGAGGCGTTTTGGCTGCAGAGTATGGCACTGGAGAACTAAACACACAAAGCACACATCAGAGAAACACATGACTGGGTAAAAACCACACTTCATTCTCAAGTTGACTTTTTGTTCAGTAAATGATACCAGTTTTGGGTTAGCGTACAGATGTGTCAGAACCCAACCAGATGCATTTAACAGAATAGATATTTAGAGTGAAATTTGGGCTGTTGGCATGAAAGTCAGAGCAGTGACCTTAAAACTTATTTCCTTCCTGCAATCTTATGAAAAAAATGTGTAACTATTCAGAACTAGAGCTTGTTCTTATCTGGAAAGCAAGCCCTCCCCCTCCCTGGCCCTTCCCCCACAGCAGATCACATGGGGGAATTCCTGGTTCTCTTTCCCAAACCTAAAATGTAACATGTTCAGCAGGATCTATGGGAGGTATCTGGTTTGCTGCCACATAAAGTGTTCAAAGTGCTGCCCAAAGAAGAGATCTCAGCTTTTTACAGTGATCCCCAAGAGCCCAGGGTTCACCAGGTCAGCATATGGAGACTCAATTGTACCACTGTTCCATTTCCAACCTGCGCATTTACTACAGCATGAAAAGTGCACCCTTATTTACAGAAAGCAATCTTATCATCTTTCGTTAGCCCTGAACACTGGATGCAGAGAAGTTATTTCAGTAATCACTTAGAGACATTTTTCTTTTGAGTTGAGATCTCACTCTGTCTTTCAGGCTAGAGAGCAGTGGTGAGATCATGGGGACCATCATCTCAACCTCCTGGATCAGGTGATCCTTCCACCTCAACCTCCTGAGTAGCTTGGACCACAGGTGGGTGCCACAATGTCTGGCTAATTTTTAGTAGAGATGAAGTCTTACTATGTTGCTTAGGCTGGTCTCAAGATCCTAGGCTAAAGAGATCCTCCCACCCCAGCTTTCCAAAGTGCTGAGGTTATAGAAGTGAGCCACTGTGCCCAGCCTACACATGTTGACACATGGGAAAAGCACTTGCTAGTACAACCGCAAATAAAAGTTTCTGGCTCCTGGAGGACAAATTTTTCAATCAATTTATATGTCCTGTCTGGGCACAGCAGCTCACACCTGCAATCCCAGCTCTTTTGAGTGGCTGAGGCAGGTGCTTTGCTTGAGCCCAGTAGTTCAACACCAGGGGCCTAGGCAATGTAGAAAAACCTTGTCTTTACAAAAAAATTTTAAAAAATAGCTGGGTGTGGTAACACAGGCCAATAATTCCAATTGCTTGGGATGCTGAGGCAAAAGGATTGCCTGAGCCTAGGAGGTCAAGGCTGTGGTGAGCTGTGATCATGCCACTGCACTCCAGCCTGGGTGACAGGGGTGAGACCCTGACTCAAATAAACAAACAAACAAATAAATAAATGTATCTGTCTTCAGCCCAAAGCTACAACTACTGCTAATAGTAGTCATAGGATCTGTTTATTTTTTCAGAACTTCCCCCAGATTTAGGGAGGATTAATATTTTTTTCTATCAAAAACTTAATGTGGAAGACACAAGACAATGATAGGTCTCACAGAAGAAAACTACCAAACAACTTAACAATCCGTACAAGCACATAGGGATTCTCTGCTGGAATGACATAGGAACCTTTCCAGACTTTATTAGACAGAGAGAAGAAAAAATGGACTTATGTTAAATGAAACAAAACCTCCTTCATGCTTCTGCTGAAGCCAGAAGAAGCTATAAAGGTGCATCTCTGGAGAAACATATCCCTGTTCCCCTGAGATATTCTACCAAGCAGGTACATAGGTGTAGTGCTCCCCCATCTCCTCCACTGAACATTCAACAGAGAAAAAGAATATGCGACTGAGATTGCTGGAATGTGAGCAATCCCTGGGTAGACACAGACTTGCTTAGAGAAATGGTGTGAGCTCACAAGACTCACAAGGGAAATGAAACTCTTCTGTTTTCTCAGAGGCAAACAAATAAGAAATTAGAAATGAAAATAAAAGCAGCAACTTACCCAGATTTTAGAAGATTTTTTTTACAGCCAAAATTTAGTTGTGACATGATGGTAAATTATGGATGAATTAGACTGAGTATAATTATTGTTATATTGACTTGTGATCATGCTACATATCTCCTGGGTATCCTAAATCCCCAACCACACAAAATTAGGATTCACAGTACCTACATACCAGGCCACATGACGACCTTGCAGAGAAATGTTGTTCAATGTAACCAGCCAATAAATCAACAAGTCTGATCCCAGAAAGCCCTGCCATGATCCAAGAGAGCAAAAAGAACAGTATACTCTCAAATAAATATGTTCAAAGATTTGTGCACAATCATGAACCAAAACAACGGGAAGCAACAGCTAGAAATTTTCAAGAGATGGGAAAGCCAAATTAAGAATTATATTTTGGATAATCTTATTCTACTTTTTTAGCAATTTGGAACTAAAAGATATCAGAAACTCATCTTGACACTCTGTTCTACAATTGAAAACAAAAATCAAAGGACTACAGGCAGAAAAGGGCACTGTAACAGAGCACCCAAGAGACATCACTGTACCGAATGAGTCTACAAATGACACTGATGTTACTAGCAACATTAGGGCACCTGCTTCAGAAATGAGCGACGGGGGCACATCTGGTCTCTAGGAGCAGGAATCATACGTTCTTGGAGAGAAACAATGCCAACAGAATAAAAATTCTTGGACTCTCCATTGCCAGATCACTCTGATTAAGAAAAAAATGCTGGGTGCAGTGACTCATGCCTGCAATCCCAGCACTTTGGGAGGTGGAGGCGAGAGGATTGCCTAAGCCCATGGGTTCAAGACCAGCCTGGGCAACTTGACGAGAGTTTATCTTTACAATAAATCAAAAAATTAGCCAGACGTGGTGCCATACGCCTATAGTTCCAGCTACTTGGAAGGTTGAAGTGGAAGGATTGCCTCAGCCCAGCAGGGTGAGGCTGTGGTGGCGAGAGCATGCCACTGCACTCTAGCCTGGGCCACACAGTGAGACTCCGACTCAAAAAAATAAAGAAAAAAAGAAAAAAAACCCAAAAAACTGAAGGTGAAAATATCAAACATGATAAACACAGAAAATCCCACAGCAAGCATGTTTCAAACACAGTCTTAAACACAGAGTGTTTTTTCCACACTTTATCAGCACTACATTCCAACAAAGACGGTCGAAGGCCCACTTGTTCTAGGGATGTGTACTCTACACACAATTATAAAACTGCATTGCTAAGACTGTGAAGTATTAAAATGTCACCTAAGTTCTTCCTTAGTGATCCCTTAAACTAATATTAATAAACATTAAGTAGGTAAATATTGATCCCATTGTTGTGAAAAGGCTCAACAACTTTTTCTTTACCTATTTCAATATTTTAAAAAAGCACACAAATGAGATCTGGCTATATTTTATTTTGGAAAATCTTAATCACAATTATATATATCCTTTTATGTATATTAATATGACAGAGTGAATCTAAATTATGTAAAGCACTAAAGGTAATTATTTAATGAACAATAAACTTCTTGGTAATAATTTAAAAGTGAGGCAAGTAGTAGACAGAATAACTTATCAAGAGTAACTGAAGAAACAAAGAAACCAAGTGGAAAAAAGGATGAAAATAATAGAAGATATTGAAAACAGACACTATTCAATTCTTGGGAGTTCCTGACATCTGACAATGGAGATATAATTGCTAGCTACTGTCCCCTATTGGTAAACTTAACATCTTCGAAGGCTCAAACCTTCTCCACAAGTCTATTAAATCAAATTGCAGTTCCTGCATGGATGTCTGGATGTTAAGTACCTTAAATAATATGTCAGACAGAGCTGCATCAGAGCTTTGAAAAGACCCATGTGAAATACAAAAATAAGATTCTATAAGAAGAGTTTTTAATGGCATGGAAAATGTAAACAATTAAGTTTCATGACTAAGCTGAGAAAGAAGGCTACAAAACAGTATGTATTAAATTTCACTTTAATAAGCTAAATTTTCAAAGATAGAAAAACATGTAAACAGCAATTAAAAATCTGTAATAGGAATAAAGGTGATTTTAATTCTGTTCTTTTAACTGTGTTTTTTATAATGCCTACAAATGGACATTTGTAATAAGAAAAATAAAAGAGTTAAAATTCTTTTTAAGTTTTTGGCCATAATTACAGGTATTTTAAAAGTAGAGTAACATCTTTAAATCAGTGAAAGAAAAAAACCGTCAACCTAGAATTCTTTACTTTGTGAAAATATCTTTTAAAAAAACAGGGGCCAGGCTCGGTGGCTCAGCCTGTAATCCCGCGCCTTTGGGAGGCTGAGGTGAGTGGACTGCCTGAGCCCATGGGTTCGAGACCCGCCTGGGCAGCGAGACCTCCTCTCTACAGTAAATCAAAAAACCAGCTGGGTGTGGTAGTGCATGCCTGTAATTCCAGCTACTTGGAAGACTGAGGCAGAAGGATTGCTGGAGCCTAGCAGGTCAAGGCTGCGGTGGCCAGGAGCGGCCACGGCACTCTAGTCTGGGCGACAGAGTGAGACTCCAACTCAAAAACAAAACAAAACAAAACAAAAAAACCAGGAAATATCTTTCAAAAACAGAAGTGAGATCAAGACTTTTACAAACATACAAAAGCTGAAAGAACTCAAGTCTGACCCTAAAGAAATGTTAAAAGAGTCCAGAAGCCTATAATCCTAGCACTTTGGGAGGCTGAGGTGAAAGGATTGCTTGAGCTCAGAAGTTCAAGACTAGCATGGACAACATATTGAGACCTTATCTCTACAATAAATAAAAAATAAAAATAGCTGGGTGTGGTGACACATGCTGTAGTTCCAGCTACTTGGGAGGCTGAGGCAAAAAGATCACTTGAGCCCAGGAGGTTGAGGCTACAGTGAACCATGATCATGCCGCTGTACTCCGGCCTAGGCAACAGAATGAGAGCCAAACTCAAAAAATACATGTATTAGAAAAAAAGAAAAAGAAAAAGAAATGTTAAAGGAAGTCGTACAGACCGAAGGAAAATGCTACCAGATGGAAACATGAAACTAAACAAAGGAATGAAGAATAC